TTTTTTTTTTTTTTTTTTTTTTTTTTTTTTTTTTTTTTTTTTTTTTTCAAGCATAAAACGGTTACCTCAATTCTTAATGTTCAACTGCAATTAAGTGCAGATAGTCGCTCTGCGCGAAGCATCTCAAAATATGGTTGATGTTGTAAGTTGTACCAGACGTGCAGTGCTTCTAAATGAAGCAAGAACAACAATAAAGTAGGACAAAATAAAGTCAATATTCCTGTTACGACTAAAGTGATAAAAATTTTGTACTACTTTTTAATAAGGAAATCTTGTTTTTTTACATTCAAAAGAAGTGCGTATACGAAAGCCAGGCAGTAGAATTTGAGTAAAACAAAGAACAAAGTTCATTCTCTCGTATTGAGGAGACATCCAACTAAAAACTCGCGGAATTTGCTTTTAATTGAAGATTGTCGACAAGGGTTTCTGCATTACTCGGGAGAGCCTATCCATCGAGTGAATATGGAGAGAAATAGAATGGCAATAGAAAAGAACACTCTAACCCGTTCTTCGACGGGTTGCAGACGTGCTCTAGAATACTCAGTCTTCCTAGTCATCTAGATAATCACGTAAAATATTGCTGCACAAATGTTACCCGACAGCGAGGCAATTAGGAGTGCATTGCGATTTCAATTGCTGGTGATAAATACAGTTACTCTTTTTGTTCAATTGTTTCTTTACTTCTTTTGTCCGAAAATATGATATACATTTTGCAAAAAGCTTGCTATCACAGAGTAACTAACATCCACTCCAATGTTCGTGTGAAACATTAGTTTGAAAAATGGCAGTCCATGGTAGGGGAAAAATTGCATAACAATGCGGTTTCAGCAAAATCAGCCACGTTCTTGTTAGACGCATATACTTTTCTATAGCGCTTGAGTGCTTCATAAGGAAAATCATGAAAATTAATTTAGATTTGCTGACACTGATACTCTTCGATAAGAAAACATAGCTCAAAACGTAAATCAAATTTTTACCAAAAGTTTTACTGATACACGTACATGAATATGGTGTATGGTTTATGTGTTTGCAATTTTTATCGCGATCAAAGAACTTTATTGCATTAAACGCGTTTAACTGCAAATAGTTTAATGGCAATTATTATTCACTTGAACTTACACCAAGAACCTCTCTCTCTCTCTCTCTCTTATTTCTTTTAACCTCAGCAATGAGTGCAGCAACGGTTTGATAGAAAAGAATTGCTTTTAATCAATTAATTGGGCTGAGCTCGTTATGTTCAGACCTATAAACACAATGGCACTGTGTTCGATAGTTGCACAACAAGCCAGACAAGATCACTATTTCGGAAGAGAGAGAAAAAACAAATTGACTCGTCAAGCACACACAGCCGGCTGAGAGAATGACGAAAAATGTTTAAAAGAGAAGAACGAAAAAACGTAATGTAAACAGAAACAGCTGTTGCCTAAGTCAAGTTTAAAAGCCGCCCAACCAACAACAACGAGAGGTATGAGAAAATTGAAGATAAGCGTTAAAGTTAAACGCTCTCTTAGACAGTGGTGCTACGAAATTTTACCTCCAAACGAAACTTGACTTTATTTCCACAGTTCTTTTATGTGCTTTCCTTCAGATACACGTAAATGTATGAGTTTTCACAAGCAGTGCTAACAATCACCGAACAACTTAAAGTTAGTCGTACATTGACAGCATCAGTTTTTCAGTTATTTGGCAAGTAAACGCATCGCTGTTAAAAACTTTAACGGAGATTGATTTTTACAATTCTTCGCAGTCTCGCGGCGATTAACGCAACAACAAACAAAGAAAAAAAAAGATTTAAAAAAAATTTTTTCTTTTTTTTTTTTTTCTCTAAAACTAAAAAATAATCTCAAAAAAAGTAAAGCAAAATTACTGGCATACTGTCTCGTCCGGTCAGATGACGGACGGACTTGTGTTAAGTGAGTGCGTTTTGTTTCGAAAAAAGCTAAAAGCAATGCATGTGAGAGAAATTCCATTAAGAAAATCATGTTCAAATTACGACAATTAAGTGTACGAAAATTATCGTAAATATTTTGACAAGCCATCAAGCACACACACACACACAAACACACAAAAACCATATGAGAGAAATTCTGAAAGTTAGTTTATTTTCTACCAAATTTTTGCAGCACACAAAATATGTTCATTACTTTCCATTTTGTAGCAGCTTATGTAGCATTAGCTGACCTACATATTCGTAAATCAATGTTCGGTCGATGGTAATTTGGAAATCTTTTTTTGGAATAACGGCCTGTGTTTTTGTATCACAGGGCAGGCAGTTTAGATGGGCGTTTTCACATTTTCGCCGTCTGTTTATGCAAAAACGAAAGTAACGAAGGCGTTAATTGCCTCGCCATAATAATCGTAAGCAAGGTGATTATTACACGTTTGTCTTATATGGAATTGAAGGCGGCATGTATTTGTCGAAACGCAATCCCAAAAAACCGAATATCAGAGTCTTAATCGAATGTAATTAAAATTTTTATTGGCGACGAGACAAACGATGATTGCCAGAGCTTTCATCAATGAAGTCATAGTTTGACTCTGTCAATAATTATGACAGAGTATTGTGACAGCACATACACAGATACTTTCAGTCTGCTTTTCATGCCCAAATACACACACATACGACCGTCTATTGAATTTTTATGAAACGTGTTCTTATCACTGTTGTATCAATAGTGATGCAATTACAAGACCATCATAGTGTACGACTACCACGCCCTCAATTCATTTATTAATCAAAAGAAGTAGGAAAACCATTTTCGCGGTTTTGCGTACATCTCTAGTGACTGGCTATTTCCAATTTCACATCGTTCTACATGTCATGCGCAGTACATAAGTTAATAAAAAAAATAAAATGTTATTATAGAATCTGGCCGCGTTTCCAAACCTGTCCTCGCTAGGCTCTAAATTCGGTCAGCAAAGGCTTACTGGGAGCATATCGCCTTGTATAACTTTACATAACTTTCTAAGGCACGGCCATGATGCGAAGCCAACCCATCATTTTAACACCCATAAGTATCTTCAGAGAGAACACTGGCAAATGTTACCGGGCGTCACATATTGCCACACTCTCCTTCTTCTCGTAGTAATGAAACCTATTGGATTTATTGGAAAAATGATCCTCCCTAGTTCAGCTTTAGGGCGTTCTAATCGTAAACCTATCGTCATACCACTAACCATAGGAATTTTTCTGGTTATTATGGCAACATTTTAAAAACACGTACCACTTGATCTATTCATTTAAGCTACGTTCCAAGACGCTACGTCCCCTGATCTTATGAACGTTCAGAAACAAGCCTGTAGGCGGTCAATGTTTACATTTTACTAAGATTTTGGTTGGCTCTGACTGATGTTTGTAAAAAATTTCGGGCTAATGTTTGCCGTACTAGTAGTTTTTTTTTTTTTTGTATCTACGGGAAAAGTTGAATCCACTTCTAATCTTATATTGATCAAGTACACATATTGCTTATAGGCTCTCTCATAACAGTTTCTAGGTCTTACAAAGGGAAAAATAAACATAACGTATATCAATCGTTCGGTAATAAGTGCAAAAACCCACAGACGGACCACCCTAGGTGTAAAGTACGTCACTTGCAAACTTGTTCTTAACGAGACATGACAAGGATCAGTTCGCAAAGGTGTCTGCTATAATTGAAAATTTGGAATAAATTCTTATGGTAATCGTAGTACCCAGCAATTGGCAAACGTTTTCACCTTTAATTGTTGATATACGTGCGCGAAGCGGTGGCTGTGCTGATTTTGCCTCTAAGCTTATGTAACTTATTCACTTCTTCTCTTAATTTGCTTTATTCAGAAACTTATTGATTTGACCTATTGATGGTTGTTGGATGGATTATGTCTTGTGCTTTTACCGTTAAGATGCATTGGCAATCTAAGAAGCAGTTACATCTTCTAACTCAATAGAAAGCTTAACTTTTTCTTTTCTAAATTTCTCTCAAACTAAATATCTCGTCATAATCCATAAGCCATAAACAAATGCAATTTCTCTCTTACTAAAAAAACTACGCATAATCAAATTAAAAATAAGACTTTTTCCGGGTAAACAGAAGAAAAAGAAGTCAAACCGCATACAATCAAAAAATCTGCATACGTCACTTAATAAATTGAAAATCACGGTTCGCTTTCATATAACTTTTAACAAACGAAAATTCGATTGCAAAGAACTTTTCTAACACTTGAGTGCAACTTTGGTTAATTAAGAAAAAAGTTTTTTCTTTGCTTTTTTTCAAACTTGTGGAATACATATCGGAATATGTGGAAAAGTTATGAATGAAAATTGAAAAAGGAATGCATTAAAAAGGCAAAAGAAAAACAAAAAAATGTGCAAAAAAATGCAAAAACGTTTAAGGCGAATACAGAGTAATACAAATCTTATAACATACTCTACGTTGAAAGCCAACGTAGATATGACGCGAACAAAAGAACACCAGCACACTGTGATGACCAAAATTGTCCATATATGGACCGGTAAAGAAGGAAAAAATTATTCCAGCTTTCAGAAGATGAATAATAACAGAAATTGTTGGAGTGAAAGAAGGACCGGATTAAGTAGAAAATGTCGCTATCATCATAGTTGGTTACTGTTGCCTTTAGTATTTTCAATAGTAATCGAGGCCAGATTAAATGCAGAGAAAGTAAACATTCTTAGTTTATCAACAACGACGACATCTTCCATTGACTATCAGCGTAGTAATAATATAAACTCATCGACAAATTTATTGCCGTCAGAAATCCTATCTAATGCAACTAATGCAACCATTCCCACGAACGACTGGCTACGCAATGATTCTCTCGCACATCAAACTGCATATCAAACAGTTAACGCATTTAATAAAGCAAAGAGCCGTCTTGGTGGTGGTGGCGGTGGTGATGGGAGTGATTCAATATTCGCGCGCTTTGCCAAGCGTTTCGCATCCGGTAACGAACTCTGGGACGGTATTGTACGCGAATGTTATACAAAACCTAGTTTTACTTGTTTTCAAAAGAATGTTTACGTTTATCTAAGCGACGTCTTAGATGCCAAAGACATGAATGTTACACAAGCATTGAAATTCTACCACAACACAAATAATTATCAGAAAAAAACAGCATCCAAACATGGCGGGGAAAAGGAGCAGTTGTACTCCACTGAAGCTTCAGCAGCCAAAGATTATTCCGATTCTAATGCAGATGGCGATAGCAACACATTGGATAATGAAATATTCGCCAACGCGAGACGAAATCATTTCTCTGCAGGTATGTTGGGCAGATTTATATTTATTTATTTATTTAGAAAGAGACGAAAGTCAAAAAAAAAAATTAAATTGAATTAATTTTCAATTCTTTTTCTGCTTATTAATCTCACACTGTTCGCGTCAAACTTTCACTTTCGTAAACGTCTCAACTCTAAACGCATTACTTGAGTTTTATAATCAAGTTTTTTTTTTTATTGTTTCTTAGCATTTATTTGCGTGTTACAATACTTCAATCTGTTAATCGGATTTTAGCTTTTGCTCGCATGAAAAACATATTTTTTGTTTTTTTCTTTTTCAATAATCTTTGAAGCATATAAACTTTTTAATAAGCAAAACTATTCGACTAATGTTTTATGTATAAAGAAAAGCTTAAATAACCGCAAGTCGAAAATTCAATTAGAAATTTTCAAATAACTTATTTAATAAAAACAAAACAGAAGTTTACCTTCTTCTAGAGACCATCAGGATATGTGTTTCCTTTTTCTGTTCTGGATAAAGAAATGCGACCAGAAACTAACAAAGTCAATGAATTTTTGTGTTTTTAATGCTAGTTTATGTCCTGCCTTGCAAGACTTCTTATTTTAATCCTTTGACTGCTTATATATATATATACACGCATGTATAGGTATGTGTACATGTTTATGTGCTTATTCATTTTATTTTTTTGTTTATTTTTTCACTTGGTTGCTATACAATTCTTGTAACAATTTTAATAAACAATTTAAGTCTATATATGGATGAGCGTGCGTGTGTGTGGGTGTGTGCATTTGAGTAGAGGCATGCAACGTTTGCAAGAAATCGTTACAGAATCCTTATATTGAAAAAAGTCTGTCCGCCCCTCTATCTGTCGCCCGTTCGATATTTCTTCTTGTATTCGTGTGTTCAAGTAACAAGTTGTGAAAATTTGCATTGACATGTCTTGACGCGAGGCGAATCTTTTACGAAATTGCGTTAAATTGCATTGAACGATTTGCCATATAACACGCAATCTTGAAAGATCGTCGTACGAAGAAAAGTCTTTGGCAAAAGCCGGTTAAAAATGAAACTTCGTTATGTTGAGTGAATACGCAAAACTTTGACGGTGGGAGAAGAACTACACGACATGTCATTTTTCGCCTGTAATAATGAAAATTCACCAATGAATCGCCAATAATGAAAATTCACCTATTGGTCTATTTCGCAGAATTACAACTGCTCATCTTATGTTGTTTTGTTTCAAAATTGCATATGTTTTGATCAGAATGTTTTATCAAAAACGGAAACTTCCTTTTTTTTACTAAATATACTTGGGCTTTAAATGTTGTTGCCCCTGTCGATGTGAAGAAGATGTAAGAAAGTTGCGCATCTTGCAGCCAACCAATCTCAATGCAAATGTCAATAAACTATAATTACCGTTAAGTCACAATTATTTCAGGTTTACGGCTGTTTTACTTTCTATTCAAATAAAAGCCGCTTCAGGTAGAAATGTTTTTCATTTTTTTTTATATTCGTTTTACAATAAAAGGAAAAAATGTTGCTAAGGTAACGGAATTTTGCAAACGGCTTGAGTTGCACGCTAATCAGGCGTTGTGGTGTATGAATTTTGTCGATCAGTTTGCAAGATTCCAGAAAAATATCACCAGGGAATCCATAAAATGTATATTCAATTAGTTCTATGACCTCTAGTGAATTTAGAAATGGCCGTTTCTTCGCTGTCCGCCTGTCAATGACACTTTGAAGGTAGATTGATATCAAAAAGCTGAAACTTGATGCAATATGTGTGTAGTTGGCAATCACGGATGAAGAGTAAACCCAATTATGGTCCGCACACAACGGCTAAAAAAGACTAGCATAGCTAGATATGGACATAAAGCTTGATACAAGTACCGTATTTAGCAAAAAGATCCAATAAGTAGCGAAAATATAAAATTGTTGACTGTCATGCTTAATGCTATGTTACATGATATAACAAGAATCCTTAGCAAAGTAAACAAAAAGTGCGTGTAAACGGAGAGAGAGGAAATATGGTTTGTTGTTGTCTTTAGGCAAACATGAAAGCACAGATAAAGTAATTTACGCAACTGCATGTGTATTCCGACAGATGAAACGACGGAAGGAGCGGAAATAGCCGAAACAGCGGAAACACCGATTGAAGAGGTGACAAATGCTTTGTATGAGAAGAGCATAAAATTTGCTATAACCCACGACGTGGAATTGAAGTTACCCGAAATATTATTCGACGGCGCTACATTTCGTATATCTCCGCGTTCTCTCGAGGGCAATGGAATGGTTGCGAAGCTGGAATTAATACCCAGGCAACAAATTGAGGCACGTTTGGCGGGAAAAATTCTCATGAAAAAAATACGTAAGAACAGTTATCTTATTTTGGTATTAAATTTTCTAAAATTTTCAAAATTGTTTTATCCTCTACTACTACTTCTCATACTTTTCGTTTGGTTTTTTTTTTCTCAACAGAGAAACTCTTTCAGAGCAAGTTGTTGTTGTCATTTTTAGCTTTAATATTGATCATAAAAATTATAAAAATTAAAATCTTCTGGCTGTTGCCCTTCATTATTGGTGTGACTGCCGCTAAAAAGTTGTTGCTGAAGTTTTTATTGTTTCTGTTTCCTGCACTATCGCATCTCTTTAAATTGTGTTCATACTATCAGCAAACATATCACTCTACAAAATATCATCATCATCATCATTTGATTAATCATCATCATACGGTAAGTACTGCACTCTATTGTTCGCATATTGATTACACGATTTGCCGATTTATTTGCAATTTCCGCCGATGGCTACGAGTAGAGCTTTTCATTATATATGACCTTCATTGCAAGATGTTTATAGGATAAGCATTATATTTTGAAAATTTTGCCCTTCAATACATATCTAAAACAAAACCGCATTGATTTCAAGAAGAAAAAGCATAATCCTGAACAAATGAAAAGCCATATAAGTTATTCCGCATGTTCGGTACCCTATGAAGCGTTCATATCTAAACTAATAGTCTAATCGCAAAGCGACGAATTTGTTTCGCAGAGACACTTTACTTTAACTCTAAAGTTTCTTTCACCACTTAAAACCGTGAACTGTCTTCTTGAAAGCACATTTATTTCATATCTATACAAGTTTTGAGGCCAGCAATCAGCAGGCTATCTAAGCGCCCCTCCTCATCCACGTTTTTGTCTACATCATATAGACAGACATACGATCAAACCGACTAAGAAATTTATCCTTGACGGAATTTCGAAATCACCCTACGCACAGAATAATAGAACACTTGATACTTTTTATGACGACTGCAAATGTTAAAAACGTAGCACGGGCCCATTGAATATAACAAAATCATTCCCTACAAAATTATTTCATGCAAGTTTTCGAATAAATATTTGTCGTTCCTTTCTTTATCTTTGCTGTAGATTGTACCAGCTTGGCATAGCGCTGAACATGTGCCAGAAATTATTTATACATCTCCCCCCAAAGGTCATGTTTCCACATATTTGCATGGGGCGCCGCCCCCTCCTCATGAATCGTACAAACCCAATTCGCACGATCACTACGATGGCAGCTGGGAGCTTTCGGGACCCGGTTTAGGATCAGAGTAAGTGAACTAAGCAAGAATCGCTGAAAATGAAATTCGTAAACATAAATAGAAAAAGCAACTGCTGATCGGAATCTACTATATCTCATAGATTTATAAACGATATAAATCGTGTAGCACATGTCGATGAAAGTTCAGATTATTTTAAACCACACCTTAAAAACGATGTGAATGAATTGAATGATTGGGGTTTGGGTACAACACAAGCCAGTCTAAGCCCCAAGCAACAAGTACAACAGAAACAAAAACATCCAATAAAAAGAAAGCAGCAAACGGTCACACAACTACCACGATTACCTATAACGAGTGTATTACATAAACCACCACCATCCTCAGCACAACCACAAAATTTTCAAAAACCCCAGGCCACTAGTCAAGCATTCAATCCATTTTTACAAAACGATCACAAGCAAAGGTATTATAACCGCCTGCACCTAAAAAAAAAAAAAAAAAAAAAAACAAAAATCCTTATGCAATAAGAAAAACACAAATTTTTATTATTTCACAACGCGACACTACTCGACGACATACAAAATGTGTAAACGAATTTCTGTTCGCACCTTAATTTGCTTTAATTTATTTCTCCATCTATTTAACCTATAGCGGCTACGGCCACAAATATAAAAACAACGTACCCGCTCAGTCGGCTCTTAATTCTGTGTATGCAGCGCCTGTTCACATGCAAGGATCACATAAACCGCAACTGCAAAACACACCACTATCGGCTGCTGCCCAAATTATTGCTCAATATGATCCAAATCGAAATCAGCAGCAACAACATTTACAGAATTCTATTCAAACTAAAACTGTTCTAACGGTAAGTAATTGACTTTCACTATAGCGATCAAAGCGTACAATCGTAGTAGAATAGAATATTCCGTTCGAACATTTCAAGCTCTCAACGTTTTTACGATTCCAGGTCGTAAAACGTCTCCAAGATCTTAAAGTACCATAGAATGTTAGATCGACTAATAGTTACCCTATACCGCCTATATTTTCACCTTCAAGCACCAATAACTATGCCTTCGCATTCTACAAAAGACACGCTTTTTATAAGAAAGCTTTTATGAGGAATGGTGTAAAAAACAGATCTATTTAGATGCCAAGCGACCGTTCGGGACCAACTTTCATCATAAAATTCTAAGAACTAGAACATGTTGCAAGATGGGAAAGATTTCAAAAAAAATTGATTTCATCTCATCCAGATTTTGCACAATCCGGTTAATATGCCAAATTATATGAAGTTCCTCGATTCCTTTTGAGGTAGAAAAGAAATTTTTATATAGTAGTAGTAAAAAATAATACCATCGTAAGCTGTTCGAAAGTGGTTCCTAAGGCCGCTAGAAGTACTTGATTATTTCTTTCGAACCGAATGTCGTGCCTGTTCATTACAATTGTACGCTATAGCATACACCATATTGAGCGTTCAATTCTCATAAAAGCCCTGTAGTAGTAGTAGTAGTAGTAAGTTTTTTTACATACCATTGCTGGCTCAAGGAGAAACACATTAAATGTTTAATTCGTTCTTATAACCAGAACCAAAGGGAGGAGATTTAATAGATAAGTCCTTGCGACTGCAGCATGTAAATATACGTGTGTATTAAGTGCAACATACATATGCATGTACTGGAAAGTGGAGAGGCTGGAGAGACAGTCGCTCTTTCACTTACCATCTCATTTGCTTGACATTCATTGGTAAAGTGGTTAGGGGTGATAAGTTTAAGACGCAAAATTAAGACTTGGCATAGATTGAAAACCCAGGTGCTTTTGCTCAGAAACACACCCGCATAGAAAAGAAACCAATAACACTTACAGTTCGTAGCACAATTGTTGAGAAACTCGATGAACTTATTTACGAAAACCGTCTAAAGCCGGAAACGCCCACAATGAAGAAAACCACTTGTACTTCTTAGGAACAGTAACCTATGGCATTGCAAAAATTATCTCGACCGACGAAATCCTTATATCTGCAAACAACGTAATTTATAAGTCTGTAATGGGTAAGAAGAGGATGGGTATCAAAATTGCAATTTTAGGCGAACATCTCTTCCTTTCTTCACGAACCTCTTAAGTAAACTTATACATGCCTATCATTTCCATGTTAGTTCGATAGCAACCAATTATCGAATTTATTTCTTGGTTGGGTTGTTTCAATGCTATCTGTGGAAAGTGAGTGCTATGGTGTTTATCTTCTGATAAACGAAATAAACGAATATGAGGCAAATGATACTCTTTGCTATGTCTATACTAACATAAGTCATTAATACACGCACGTGTTCTGTCTCTAGGCCCACAAGTGTGCACACTTAAAGTGCAAATGATTTAATAGGATCTTCGGCAAAGAGTACTCCGCAGGCTAATTGGGCAGAGTGCGAAAACTTCCATACAATATTGGCTTCAAGCACCATAACTCATAAGACGTAGAAATTGAAAAGCGAAAGAAACTAAGTCAGAAGCAATTAATGACATTTTCGCAATCAAACGTTTACAACGCTTTAGAGAATCTAAACTGAAATAGCAAAGCAATTAAAGAGTAAAGAATAAATGCAAATTAAATTTAGTATATTTTTTAGTCTTTTATTTAATCATACACACACACACACACATTAAATCCATTTTTCGCCTATGAAATAACTGTTAAATGGCACGTTATGTGCACAGGCAATCAACCAACCAAGCATATCACATGAGTGCAAACACAAGCTCTATAGCGAAAGTGTGTCATTAATAGTAATCTAACTGAATACTGTTTGTGTGACAGCAGCAACCGCATATAACACATATAGCACACATATGCAAGAGCGACAAAACACTTGGCAATAGCACGAAGCATGGCATAGCTCTGTGGTTATTTTATTATAGAGGGCGTGCAATGATGATTTGCAATTCAAGTTTGCCATTAAATGCCCCTTACATGTGACACATAAGTGAAACGAAAAGAACACATACGAGGAGAACATTTCTTATTAACATTTATTTCAAATGCATTGCCCCGTTGACGGCATTACATTAGTTAACGAAACCACGTGTTGAAGTACTTGAGAAACGATTTCAAGTTGAATATCTTGTTGGTTGGTTAATCAAAGGAGGACCAAATCTCTTATTAAACCAACACAAGTCCAGCTTTAGAAGTGCTTAGATTTTAATAGCATCTGCAGCAGTTAAATGCTGGAATTCTTCAATACCTGCGACGATCCTTTCGACGATCCCCAGACAATATTACTTGTTAGGTTAAGGTAAACAGATCGAAGGCGTCATTACTGCTTAGCTTATATTGATATTGGACTTGGTATGAGTTGAAGAGAGGAAGCAATGCATTGGCTGCTTGCAAAAACTTGTATGACACGTTAAGAAGTGAAGCAGTAAGTGTTGGACCTGCCAAACATAGTTTGTCAAATTACATTACGGAAATTTCAGTCTCACTACTTAATTTCGCTTAGGATAATAAATGATTTTCATATATTAGGAGAAAAGCGAAATCAGGCCAGAAGCAATTCCTCAGATTTAAGCTACAATTTTCTATAAAGATTATCTTAATAGCAATTTCAACACTCCTCAAACATATAAATAAACTATGAGGCGCTTCGATGAGCTTTTGGCAACCTCTCTCAATTTATTGACATAATTTAATCTTTGAAAATTCGTTTATTTTGCATTCCGGAAACTTTCTGCAGCCGGAAATTGCTGCGCAATTAAAGGAAGCCTTGCGTATACAAACTGAGCAAAGGCTCATACAACAGCAACAAAAAATTTTGGACAAACAACCATTCGCCCAGGACGGTCAGGTATGTAGCAACTAATGAACGAATCAAAAAATGAAAACCGCAAAGAAAAACTCCTTTAGCAATACAATATGTGATATGTTTGCCAGGGCAGGACAAGGCACAAATTGCTACGAAACACACTGTGCTTTTTTTTTATCAACATTTCTTGTTTCTTTTTAATTTACACGTTCTTGTTTGCATAGCCTTTGATGCCGCTCAATTATGACCAGTTCTACAGTCCCATTTTGCTGAAAATTGACAAAGTCATTGAACAACTTGGCGTTACAGATGACTTGTGCAAAGAGCGACTCGTGTGCAGTATGTACAAGGATCCCGCACGTTACAGTCCACACAGTAATTTCGTATCGGCAGAATTGAGCAGGTAAGTGAACATCGCGAAGTAAGACAAGGTCACATGAAAAGATAATTAAAACTTGTTATGTCAGCTCTACACCGAGTCGGGTTTTTTTTTCTTTTGACTTTTTTGCTAAAGTTTCCTTGTACGGCAACGTGCATTTGAGGCTTCAGCACAGATAATCACCAGCCGGCCATTCATGTGATATTCTCGCCTATCCCTTATTTTAAATTTTTTTGAACGTCTACAAATTCGTCATTTGCATTGCATATAGCTGGGCGTTCGATAAGGATATTTTATGTTTGTCATTTTGCCCTTTGTAAAAAGTTAATAAGCATCACGGCGCGATAACATTAAATCTGAAGCCCTGAATACTCTTTCTGATTCAATTTGTTAACCTAATTGAAGTCCATTATGGGAGGTTTTGCACAATATTTAATAAAATTACAAAAATCCGACCATGATATTAAGAAAAACGTAATTCTGTTTAACAAATTACGAAACAAGCTCAGGCCTAAACATTAGATTCTAGTACAGTAGCACTTTTTAGAACTCAAAACGCCCACAAGATCCGATTTTTTTTTATCAGATGGTTTGTCATGTTCCGAAGCATTGGTGGAGTGACTTTTATTATGTAAATTGCATGACTACGAATTGCTAGCTATGGCTAATTAACGAAATCCAAGATGGGACGGACTTACTTCCATGCTTGTCGCTAGGTACAGTGGCAGTAGTGCAGTGTAGTGCAGAGAAGCAGAGCGGTTGTCGATCCAAGCACATCCTTTGCATCCAATGCACAAAGGGACTCGTCCCGTCTTAACCAACCTAACAGCTGGCATTACGCCTTATTCGAAGATGGTGGTAAGCTCTCCCTGCCATAGATCTTTATCCGAGTCGGTTTAGCGAATTGTAAGAACGACGTATGCGTGGAGGGTGGGTAGTAGGCGTTTAATATTCGTACTAAAATAAATTTTTTTTGTTTTGTTTTATATTTTTTTGGCTATGCTGCCCAAGCAGATGAAAGCTTACTGATGCTTTGAAATTGAAAAAGTCTTCTACATCTTCTTTCATTTTGCATTTTCAGAGATACGAGCGAATTAGCCCCAGTGAAGAATACGAACGCTGCAGTGATACGCTTTTTCCGTTTGATACAAGCGGCCCGGGACGGTCAAGATCAGAAAGATTGCTTACGTTTATACCCGAATTGTAATATCAATACGGAATAGACCAGACGGGTGATTCGACGGATACGAATGCGTATTTTTGCAAAAATAGTCTGACTTTAAATTATATAAATTATTTATTATGAATACAACCAACAAGTGAGATTTATATTATATGTACATGTATGTATGTCCCTTTTTTTGTCAATTTATCGCGTGTAAATCGATATTTTTAATAAATCAGTAATTATTTATTTATAATGCGTAAATATATTGTTTAGGTAATAAAATACATAACACTCTAATTATATGTCCTAATTAATGTCGATAATAAGCTTTGCAATTTGAGTAATGAAGTATAGGCTTACATTTAATAAATAATTTATATTTTGTACAACTGTAGTGTGTATATTTACTACATTCTCACTTTATAAAACTTAATATCTATTGAATATTTAATAAAGAAAATCTTATGGAAAAAACATGCGTTTATACAAATTCTCGGCGGACGTACTAACAACAACCACGTAATAACTTATTGACATGTATACATGACAATGTATATTGACATATACATTGTATGTATTTCTAACCTCTGCCGCGATGCAGTCGCGTTTTTGTGGCGCGGTGTCGTACAAGTAACTCTATTTAGTACCGCTGAGCTGGAAAAATGCTCTGAACAATCAATATTTGCCTTTAGTATACGATATTTCATTGCTAGACAGGGAAGGCAGGCTCTCACCCGGAGCAGCGTGGCATATATATGCAATATAAGTGATTACCATCGCTTTTGTAGTGTCTTTACTTACTAATTCTGCTTTTGTTCATGAAGAAGAGAAGAAGAATGCTTAGCTTAATCTTAACACTGAGTAAAAATTTTCAATCGCTTATAGTTTCCAGTAACATCCAAGCATGTCCACCGCAAACAATGCCTAACGTACTATACTCGCTGAATATACAAACCGCTGAAAATCAAACGTCTTTGAAAAGTGTAATAGGGCAAGAAGTTGCATTTGTCCAACATCGACGCTGGATGTGATACCATCCATAATCTTTCTTGAGAGGCAGTTAAAGTACAGCTGGAATATTTAGGTCTAAACCCAGGCTGACATGAGCTTATGAGATCGTATTAGCTTAGCACACAGGTACAATTTTTACACACTTCCAGCTACAACAATTCGGCAACTACCGCTTGCTAAATTTCCGGTACAATTCATCCAACCAGAAGGATCTCAGGAACTTATTTTTGAGAGATTCTCGAGCAACACCACTATCGTTTGAGGTAGTAGGCAGCGAGGCATTGAGAAACTCCTCACTTAGTTGATGTAGATCCTCATCCGAAATGTCGCAGATTTTCGCGCCGTTGACACTCGATTTTTTTATTATTTCTCATTATATGCTTTAAGTGCAACACTTGCATTTTGTTATCTTTATTTTTTAGAATTATTCCTTCCGTCTCAAAAGTCTCTGTTCCCTACTATATATACGGAACAAATATAAACAAACAATTATCGCTACTTTCCCTTATAGAGAACGAATGCGTTTTAGTCGACTCTGCGCTTGGGTTCCAAGCGCTTAGCAAACTGAATATATTACTTGTGGTACGTATTGCAGACAATGCGTGTAACTCCATGCAATAACATCGCAACAAGTTGAAGTCTAAGTGATTATCATTGCTGCCAAACCAACACAAATGAGAACATTTCATTTTCCGAGCACGTAACGCGATTAGCTGCGTATCAACTGATTTCCCTTTTATTATGCATAACAGATAACAAATTTCGGTTTTCATTTTCTTCATTATCAACCTACTGGCAATCGCCAGTATTTGATATTATAATCGAAGCATTGACTCAATCAACAAAATATTTATTAAGTATTTTAAGTAATTGAGGAATCCGCTCATATAAACAACTCCTCCTAAATACGGTTGTCGGACTAGTTGCTGGCGGGGTTGTGTTGTATGTTATAAGAAATGAAAATACAATTTTCACATATGTCTGCTACCAGCGACGAAGTTCAAAATTTCTTTCTCATTTATGGTAAAGTAAAATCGGAATTTTTTCCCTTTTTTATATACAAGTAGTTCACAGCGTTTACGCATGAATACCGGCAATCTTCAGACGTGCTTAATATTAATATACACTATATACTGTACTATGTATATGTTAGGCAAAATTTGAAAATGTTTTTCGCCTCTCGATAAGATAATCACCAGGAAAACGTATCAATTTACTAATTCTTGCAAAGATATATTCATTCACACACAAGCAAAAACACGCCTTTAAACATCTTGCACCCTCCTACAGTCATTCATGTAACGGCTTTTCAAAATAAGACATTGTATGGAAATTGGTCGAAAAACTGGCCCGATTTGAAACATTTTCAACAGCGTTCGTCATTCAGCTTGTAGGCTGAACATAACGAAACAAGGCGGATGGACGGACAGAAAAGAAACATACATGCATACATCCACATAAATTTAGGATGGCCTTGTACCATGAGTGGTGTAGGGCATGAAAACCGATGAATATCGTGAAGGTTAGGAAACCGAGCTTGCGATGCAAACAATTTTTATATACAAAGACACGAGTCCCCTTATGGAATTTATGCTCTTCTGAGAGCACCTTATGCAACCTGCACCCTTGTTGTACCTCTTGCATCCCCTCTTTGCAATAAGAGAAGAAGTATCTGCTGTGGGGGCATTTTGTTTTGAATTTTTTTTTAACTGTGCCATTTTTAATTTATCATTGTCTACAACAAACCATAGTATAAAAAGCAACAACATTTAAAAATGATATAAGTAATTTACAAAAATTCGTCTTCCGGTTAGTGCGGAATTTAGCGACTGCCAAAAAAATTGAGATCACCCAATATACTTCATAAACTTCGTAAGCTAACAAAAATCTGAAGCAGTGGGAAAAAGGTAGACTGTTACCGGAACTAATACGCCTACCTCGGTACTTCCTTGATTAGAGTAAGGCATGTCCGTATATATTTAGAGCAAAGCAGTTTCGCTAGTCTTTCACATGCACGTACGGGATGCATTTTTACGAAACGCCCAAGGTTATGATTTGATTTAACCGGGACATCATCTTTTCGTCAGAACTTTACGAAAACGTGTCACGTCAAAACTAACTCCCATAAATGCACACACACTTATGTGAAAAAGTTGATTTGCTCACCATTTCGAAAAACAAGGGAAATTTTTGGCTTTAGATGATAGAAAGTTTTCTTTTGAACAATCTGCAAGATCGATTTGCCCTAATTCAGGAACTACTAATTGAAGACGTTGCCAGGTAATCTTACCAATCGGTAATAGGCTAAAAGAAGTTTTCTCCTTTGGCGAAAAAGATTTTTATCAACATTCTAAGTTTCTTATCAAAGGGATAATTGATTTGGAATGCTGTAGAAATCACTTTTATACTTCTGTTATATATCCGTGACGTGTTTATCTCTTCCTTCATCTCGTACTACTCACTACTACCATCTGTTTATCTTCAAGCTTATCGATGAAGAGCGACGGAAGGATTACAGAACAACTAATGCTACAGGCTAACGAGTTCATGCATTCATTAAAAGGACGGAGAGGTAAAACATTCGAGGCCTCTAGATCAACATAATATATGTGGACTATGCAACCAACACAAGCAAGTAAAATAATTCACTTAAGAGTTCTCTCAATAGGCAAACGAATCTCCCCGCGAAAATATTGTGTAACGATGCAAAATAATATGAAAAAAAAAAAAGAGAGAATTGTTCACAAAACAAAACAAAAACTCGAAGACCACGTATGTGTATGCATGCAGAAAAAAATAAAACCTTTATTTTTAGTTGTTGTTAATCGCATTACTGGTATTTAAAAGAGTGGTCGTATAAAAACCACAGACCGTTTTAATATTATTTACATATTCGATTGGTTGCTTGGCGCGTAAGGCATACGCTTGGTGGTATAACATAAACTCTGCGCATTTGGATAAAAGCAAAAGGGCAGTAATTCAAAGAAAAAGTGAAAAGGATGAATTGTTGTGCCATTGTTGCAGTAGTTGCAGTAGTAGTGGCGCTGGCTGCCGACAGCATTTTCGCTCAAGCAACACAATCGGCGGCTGGTTTGGCGCTTGATATGTACGATACGTGCCTGAAGGATTTCAACACAGACTGCGTGAAACCTAAAGCTATGCATTGGTTCAACGTTGCAGTGAAGCAAAATGAAATCTTATTAACTGATCAGTTATCTCTTGTTCGCACTGGTGGTGCAGTAACCAACAACGAACAACGCAGCTTACAAACTGAGGAAAGAATATTTGAGAATATTGAGAATTTCCTAAACAATCATGCCCTACGCTTTAGAGCTCCCGAATATTTCCAAAGTGCAGAAGGCCGCTCGTTATTGCCTGATTTCCTTATGAACAGTCCCCTAACTAATGGCGCAATAATTCCCTTAACGGATGCATCTAGCAGTGAAAGTGAGTTGTAAAATGTGTGAGCTTAATGTGCGTTTACCATGAATATATGATACGATCTATGTGTTGTGTTTTCCAGGTCGAGGTTTTATGCGTAAGGCGGTATTACCTTTTCTGATAGGTTTGAAACTGAAAACTACCGTTTTGGTGCCGTTGGCTCTTGCCTTGATCGCTTTAAAAACTTGGAAAGCCATGACCTTAGGTCTATTATCCCTCGTATTATCTGGCGCTTTAGTGGTGTTCAAAATAACAAAGCCCAAGGTATAAAAACTAAATATTCTAAAACTATTCAAAGACATATCTACAGTGGAGCTTTTAATTACCAGATTGTTAACTACGAAGTGGTGCATTATCCTCATCATGTTGATCACATTGAACATTTGCCACATCATCATATCGAACATATTGTGCCACATCATCATCACGTCGAACATGTCGTACCGCATCATGTGGAGCATGTGGTGCCACATCATGTCGAGCACATTGTACCGCATCATTTGGACCATCATCTTGATCACCATTTGGATCTACCCCATCACGTTGATCACGTTGAGCATTTGGAACATACCGCACCCGCTTGGGAACCGCATACTTGGGCTCGCTCTTCGCAGGAAATTCACGGCGATGCCCAGGACATGGCTTTCGCTGGCCAACGGAAGCGTTAATTGCATATACCTTCCCTTCGCTTTCGTATTTACCTCTCTCTCTCTCTCGTTGTCTCTCTCACTCTCTGGCTCTCTCTCACTTACTCTCTATCTGTCTGTCCCTCCGTCTCTCTCGCTCCCTTTCTATCCCCCCATTTTTTCGACTTAGGTCTTTAACGTATTTATTTTTATTCTTCATTTTAGGATAAACGAATTAAGTAAATTTCCAAAGATTTGTTTAAATGAAACATTTTTTTTTTTTTTGATAATGAATGACTGGATGTCATCAGAAATTATAATAGACTAGTTTTTTGTAAATGCTATGACAACATGATGACGGCATTGATGATGATGATAATGATGATGATGATGACGATGATAATGATGACGATATTAAAGTTAAGATTACTAATTGTAACGGAGCTTTTTAGCTTTATTTAGATATTTATTTATTTATTGAAAAAAAGAAAAAAAATATGTGAAAGAAATAATTAATAAAACTTAGTATAAACATTAAACGAATTACTCGCGTTAGAGCGAAAATTTTAATCACTAAAAGACATGCAAAATGCTCGATATGATTAGAACCTACTCCACAATTTGGCCATAAGTTTGCCATTGAAAAATATATGGGTTCCTAAGAGGCCTCAAATTCTGCGATCATCTTAGGTACATTTAAAAAGTGAATGATCTCTATTTCGTGATTCATATCCATTGGCGGTGATATGGAGAACATGGTAAGGCCAACGAATACCTGAAGAAAACTTTACATTTTTGAGGAAACAAACTTCTCGGAGTGAAAGTCCAATGTGCAACTTTAGGCAGAGAAGCTTGCACTCTTTTCCGTAACTGCCAGTCGATTGTGAAGGGAACAGCACTACATACATGTAATATAGGACAATAGCGGTGCTCTGAAAGATGAAGTAATAGAGCGAGAGAGAGACGGTCTTTTTTTGAGTGGATGTCCGCTCTTCATGTAAGACGGCGACACGGTCAGAAAGAAGGGAGTAAAGAAAAGGAAATCGATAAATATTATGCCTTTGCTGCGGCTGCTCATGTCGAAAAAGGCACAAAAGCTGCACAAACCCAAAGTTTCCTTTCTTAACAAGAAATTAACCTCAAAAACTCGTACATGCTCGAGTAGGGCTTGCTTGCTTCCTATGAATTTGATTTTATATACGAATTCTTAAAAATTCTCTTATTTAAAACTTACTGCAATATTTTTTTGTAATTATATACAACAATATTACATATAGATACATTCATACAATTTATATTCGAATTTTTATTATAACAAAACATGTGGACGAAACGTTCTTAGCTAATGATAGCTGTAAGTCTCGTGGGCGTAAAACATTTAGAATCTGAATTATTGTCGGCATGGGCAGTGAAAGTCTCTACTTTGTGTCGACGTGCGAAACAGTTCCACTGACAGTCTTCCTCTCAAGTTCCCATAAAATGCTTATGTTCGCCCTCAATTTCAAGAATTGTGCGAATTGGAGAGAATTGTCAATTCCAAGCTCCGAACTGCTTTGCGGCAAGTAGTCACCAAATTTTATTCGTGTGAGAGAGCTAACGTTGTAGAAGACACCGGAAGTGCAAGGGTGTGATAAATTTGTTTTGTTGATATTCAATAAACGAAAGGCAATTATTCAAGTGAAAGTAAAAATGTACTGAAATTTCTGAAGACATAGATGAAGAAAAGCGATAAATATAGCCAAACATGGCGTCATTTCCACTATATTTAAATCGAAATTGTTGGCACTAAAATTAATAAAATGCTTTAATCGATAATAAGTGATTTTTTTTTTTTTTTTTTTTTTTTGATGAATATTCATCGGAAAGATTTAAATCAATGCGTATGTGTTTATAAAAAAATTTCTAATTTATTTATTTTGATTTTAATTGATGGTAAGCTCGTTTGTATGTTTTATGTTAAATATTTGTTCATTTAAACATAATTTGATAATAAAAATGTGAAATTTATGTATAAAAGAGAAAAAAAAAAAGCTAGTGAAACTTTGTTGTCAAAAATTTTTAAGGAATAAATGAAAATTTTTTGAAAATTTATCTTCGCTTTAAGCCGAATTTTAAATACCTAACATTTGGAGAATAAAGTTAGTTAAAAAGCAGTCCACTTTCATTTCATTTTGTGCTCTTGTTGCACTCATAACACGGTCTCCCTTATTTCCTTACTTTTCCTACTTAAAATGCATTTACTTGCTTCGAATGCTGGTCACATCGACTCACCTCATCCGAATCCCAGCTTATTCCATTTCCACTATCATAAAAAGTCGACAAGATACCTTAACCTGGATAAGATTCCGAATCGATTTACTTAAGCACAAGCGGTCATAGCGGTTTTTCTATCTGAATTCTGAAGTTCGAAGATTTGTTGTGGCAAAGTTGGACATAAAAAGCAAAAGCTTGACATATACGTTCTTTCTCTATGACCAGATTAAGTTTAGAGATGGATCAAGTCCACGATAAGACAGGAAGCACAGATTTCTTATCTTCCGATTAATAAGAAAAAATAACTCGCAGAGCCTTACAAAAGTGAAAATAAAAACAGAACCGATTTGTCGGCCAACTTGGAATACCATATAAAACCAATTTATCAACATTCCCTGATGCAGTGTGACTACGTGAACTAAAACCTGCGAACAGTTTTGCATTTAATCACAGGAGAATTCTAATCATGGAAAACTTCGTACATCTCTTATCTGGTGTCCGTCCATCTATCTTGTTTTTCATCTATTATTATCGACTTTGAAATTTGGCGTTAAATGTCATGTAAACTAAAGTTTACGAATAGATATAGTCGCGGCGTCAGGCGTACCAAACGGACTAAAAGGTATGATAAGACGTTTTGTTTTACTTGTTGACGTAATGATAGAAATTTGCAAATAAAATGCTGAGACAAGCGTGCCCAACACATCAGCCAGTGGGCAAATAATTGGATGAATGCAGACAATCATCGGAAAAATGCAAATGGAATTTTAAATTATCTATCCCGATGGTTAGAAATACTACGCATCCAAAAATCACGTTGGCACTATGTGCTCGCAATTGGTAATAAGGAAAACGTATGTAAATTCGTTTACACGCACAGTTACATAGAGTAGTTAGGTGGCTACTGGTGAAATTTTTTTTAAAAATTTACAAAATCTGATTATATATGTATTTATTTATAATTTCGAGTTTAAAAGAAAACAAACGAAAAAAGCAAATAAAAAAAAACAAAAATCATAATTTAAATGTTTCGCGCTGAGTAAATAAAGTCAGATACGTTAACCCTAAAAAGTATTAAAAACGATTCAAATTCAAATTCATTTCGCTTTTCAATACAAAGTCGTACAAATGTGTTGTAACTCTTTTTCTATGCGTAATCGAGGTAACTTTCTTTTTTTTTTTTTTTTTTTTTTTTTCCTTTTTTTTTATTTTTTTTTTTTTATTATTGCACTCACATGGGGACTCCTAAGGAGTCCAATTATGGTCTATGCGCATGACTTAAGGTTTTCACTTTTTAGGGCTTATGTAACCAGATGAGCATTAATTTATACATGCACGCATGGCATATACGAATGATTACGTATTTACAATTGAAATTTTAGCATATCGTTACCTTTACATTACATAAAATATATTATCGATAATAAAACAAAATGTTATGTTGAATAAGTCGCCGTTAGTTCAACATAATTCATGACATTCAACATTCTGACCTTCTTTTATAAAACTCATTTACACATATGCTCATAATATTTGTATTGTTGTTTGCATTCTGTTCACCAGAGACCTTGATTGCTCTTTATTGCATTTTGAAAAGTAAAGAAAAACAGGTATCATAGACACACACACACAAATAAAATAATAAAAGATAGTTTTAATTTACATTAAGCATTAAAAGTTATAGCACCGCAGAGACCAATATTGTGCACAAATATCGGTATATATATATGTGTGTGTGTGTGTGCATGCAATGTGAAGCACAATTTATTTGCACACTTTACTAATGTGCATTCTATACGCTTGGCATGCGATTCACATGCCGTCTAATACGAAGACTTCAACATGCGAAAGAATTTATTCCTTATTCACCCTTAAATCTACTATAAGATAGCTAGCTATGTGTGTTTCAAGGAACTTAGGCGTAAAGAACTATTGCAGACTGACTATTGAAAAATTTCCAAAACTCCGTAAAAGGCAAATCGGCATTTAATGAAAGAAAAATACGAAGAAAAACCTCAAGGATTGTTAGCTAACTTTCTTATTCTTATCGACGACGAATTTACCAAGAGCTACTCACGTTCAACTAAATAGTGACAAAAATAAGAGAAAAAGTGTTGCTTCACTTTTTATGTGATTCTTGCAAGATTCCTTTCAACTTGACTACAGTACGAGGCTAAAGCAGAATTTATCAGTTATTCGTTGTAATCACGCTTAGCTAATAGCGGGAAGAAGAGGGGCATAGGGATTTCAATAAAATAAAATTAGATTAAGAGACTACGACTTTTGAGTATTCTTAATACGAAAGCACACTACACTTCAAATGTTCATTGAAAACGAAAGCATGGATCGTAGTTGACCATCTATGCGAAAAACGCTTATATGCGCTTGATACGTGAAATTGAGAAATTTGGGGGGAAACATCTAAAAGCAAAAGAAAATTTAGGAAGAATATATTTATATATGGCAAAGAAAGTGGCTGTGGTCAAAATTAAGTAAGCCAAACAGGACGGGAGAAGACGGGACGAATGGAAAAACTCCATTCACACCTGACGCGTAACCTTGTTTTGGCACACTAAGACCTTTGGATTAGAAGAACTTACGCCCACCACCTGCTGTTGCTGCGTTTTAGTAAATCCTTGCTTGTAAAAAGTTGACTCAAATATTTCTTATCTTAATCGCCGTAGCCGTTTAATGAAGATTTGATTGAAAAGACAAGCAAGTAATAGATATGATGTCGATAATAGTTCAATATACGATTTCCTCAGAGGGATTGTGTTCGCATTGAAAAGTTCAATCTTGCTGCAACACTTGCTTCCCTGAAAATGTCTCTCTTCGCTCCGAAATGCAAACAAATAGAAATATAACGAGCCTTTAACATGAATATGTTCATTGAATGAATGAATGAATATACATATGTATGGGCTGCGGAAACACCTTGACTTTGAAAAAGATAAAAATTATAAAATTTTAATCTTTTTGTTATCAATAAATTTTTAAGACTTACAGAGCACACGCATATATCGCGCGCAGTAATGCGCTCGTATTGAACGTGAAAAGAATGCGAATGATTGAAAATTTATGTTACTTATACGACCGCAATTACACACATCTGCCAGAGCAAACAAATCGTGCAAGCAGCACATATAGATAGACACAATGGAATTCGTTCGAAAACGAACGAATACACACACGAACACAATTCGTCGTCGATAAAGCAAGAAGCAGCTTACGAGAGTAAAGAGTGAATAACTCTCAATTTCATGCAATTGCTTTACAATTTTTTTTCTGCTTTTTTGTTCAATCTTGGGAGGGTTATGTCTGTCATTTCAATTGACCGCATATAGCTTGTTCCGCCAATAAAATAGACACCGCCAAGTAACAAGTGCGTATGTATTAGCAGGTGTATATCTATATATTTATAATAGTTTGTTGTTGTTGTTGTTGTTGGAAATGGTAATGATTGATTTTAAGACATTGCTTTTGGTTAAGCCAAGTATAAAAATCGTGGTCAATAGAAATATAATAATTATTCGCAATTGTTTATTCATTCAGGCCAGTACACGATTGGGCAGTAAAAGTAACGTGTCGTAGTGTTACAGGATTTTTACGTACACACTTACGCACTCTAAGGCACACTTAAATAGAGAAAATGTCTGCATATAAATTTATGATCCTCGGGGCTCTTTTGAGTCTGCATCTGTTCACAGCCTTGACAAGTGCGGTAAACATAAAAGATATTATTGATGAAGAGCATGAGAAATGTGAGAGCGGTAGCGATGATATGGCTTGCGTTAAAGTGAGAGCCATGAAATTTATAGACACAGTAATCAGCAAAGATAATTATAAGGTGAGACAACAATCAACAATGGTACATTAATTACGGCGTGCAACAACTAATACTAAAACTTTTTTTTATTACGTTTCCAGATCTCTGATATAGCCGTGCAATCCAATGGTTATTCAACTTCGGCTGAGAGTTCACGTTCAGAAAAAAATGATTTCTTCGATATCGTTGAGCAGTACTTACAAGGTCACGATATTACAATGGACTTGCCTTTGGCAGAAGCTAAAGTGACGGTTTCCTCCCGTAATTTGGCACAAGATGAATTAAACTTTACTGTCAATTTTGCGGGCGATAGTGATGTTGTCGAAGGCAAGGGTAAGAAGGGAAACTTCTTCAAGAAGGGTGTGTTACCAATACAATTTGTGCAACAGAGGCAATCATGTTAATAAATGGTTCATTCTTTGATTTGATCTTTAAGGCAAGAAGAAGCGTTTGCGCAAACTAGCCATGCCCATTATGGTATTGATTTTGCTGAAGGCAATCACCGTTATACCCATGGCTATTGGTATTTTGAAGATTAAGGCTTTAAATGCCTTAGGCTTGGGCTTCTTATCGTTTATTGTCTCGGTTGGTTTGGCCATTTTCCAATTATGCAAGAAGGTAAGAAAAACTAAAATTCCTATCTACTTTTAGGCGACTGTCTCATGTTAAATTGAAAGTGGGAAAGAGAGAGTGAATGAGAGAGAGAGAAAGAGAGAGAGAGAGAGAGAGAGATTAAGAGAGAAAGAGAGATATGGAATGAGAAGAAGCTGTAAAAGATAGTAAAAAGATTGTACAAATTATCAAAGCTTAAACCAAAGTAATACGCGAGAACTGCTACCAAAAACTAACAAACCAAAAAAATTTTATTTAAATTTATAAAGAATGAGTAAAAACAATTGATAGGTAAACAAATGAAGAAAACCAAGGTAAGTAAACGATATTGTAAGGAAATGCATTGAACTTATGTTATATAACTGCTAACCTAAGGCATGTAACTAAACTTTTCGAATTTTTTTTTTTTTTTTTTGCGTTATACAGAAACAATATTTGGCTCTCATAATCAGCTCTCATCTCCCTTCCCTCTGCTCCCATATATGTTTATTGAACAATGATTGCCCGAACACCCCCATCTTATTGCTATCATTAAAGCAATATTTGTTTTTTTTTTTTTTTTTTTTTGTTTTTCATCTTTAGATTGCCAGCTCAGAACATCACACAGCGCACATAACGGCTCACGGTCCTTGGGATGGACGCTCCCTTAATCCTAAGTTACAATTAGAGCAATATGAAATGATACCTGCCGCCCACAACTTGGCCTACAATGCTTATATTTAATAAATACAAAAACAAAACAAACGTCGTCTACAATAAAGTTTACACACATCGCAAATCTGATAAGCTTAGTGTTAGTAAATTATATAGGCTTACATTACGTAATAAAGTACCTACAAGTCCCAAATATTCCAAATACAACAAGGTCGAAGCGTAGAGTACTATACATAATTCCAAAGAGTCCACACAAAAAAAAGTAATGCAATTATTACTCAGTTTATTTATTTAAATATAATTTAGGAAATTCTGTTTATTTATGTACTTATTTATGTATTTATTTATTTATGTTTTTTTTGTTTTTTTTTTTTTTTTTGCCAAAAATCTATGTAAAAAGCTTTTTAGGGACTATCGCGAGATTTCCTTAATGGAAAAACTAAACAAAAAAAAAAGGGGAAAAAATAATTGAATTTCATTTTCCAACACAAATAAAGATACGAAAAAAATCTTTTATCTTTAATATTGTAGTGTTGAAAGTAAATACATACACAAATTATAATGACAACATTCAAGCATTGGTTTTTATAAAGCGTTCGAAGCGCACGAATTCTCTGTACACTGTCCAAATGTATCATCAATTGAGTTTGGATTTCATACGATTGATTGGGTTTTGTTTACGGTTTGATGATCAGTTTCACGAAATGGTAGTGCAAACGAGTCCTCGTCGTCTCGTTTGTAACACCTACTCCCAGTCGAATCAGTTGAAAATCAGCCGAACCGCCGATGTATTGCTGAAATCGCTATTAGTTACGTCTTTCAAGCAAAGCATCAATCACTCCATGTGGACGGTTGTGATGCCTCCAAGTTGCTTGACATAGATTCATCTCTTATCAGCTTGTCTCTCCATCCTAAGTCTGTCCACGCATTCTTGTTTTCAAGCTACAGGTCGTAATTTTCGGATAATTTTGATAAAAGTCTTGTCCGCTGACGTATTTTGGCCCAATGATGAACACTATTGAAGATGATTCGGATCGAATCACTTTTCGACCTTCCCCTATATAACGCTTTATCCCGAATTGTGTTGGCAATAGCAACAAGGCTCGTTAAGACGCACATCATTTTCATGATTCTTTCGACTGCTATCGAAAATTGATTATATATATCGTCCCAGCAATATTTGCAAGAACTCTGCGGAAAAAACTTTCAAATTCCAGCTTGATTTTGTATTGCACAGTAATGAACGTAAACATTCTAAGATTGAATTGATTGAACCTGAATTTAAAAACCAATAAAAGCTGCGTAAATATGTTCATGCTATTGCTAGGTTATTACGTTCGATGAAATTACCTCACGTCCCCAAAGGTAAGCAGAAGACCAAAAAAGTTTCTTTATAATAATCAGTTAAAAATATTAAAAACAGTTTATTTAAAGTTTAGTAGAACACAGTTTAGGAAAGCAAAAAAAAAAAAAAACATTTTTTTTCTCTCAACTTTTCACTGACAGATGATAATTAATTTTACGAAAGGTCTGAATTGATTACGTTTATCATTCTTATCGTACGTATTCTTACATCATATAAATTGCGTACATTTTGTACGTTTCAGTAAAGGACGAATCTTTGCTTTGCTTCAATTGCAAGTAGCCTTGAAATTGCTCTCGCTGTTCTAGTTTCCGTGAAATATTTCTCCTTTATGTGCAGCTCGTCATAAACAACATAAATTATATCTCGTGCGAATAATTAAAACTAAATTTGCCCCTTTTTTAGCTGTCGGTTCGTATAAACAGTAAAATGAGCCCTTATAAGCCCTACATGAGGATTTCGACTGATTCCGTTCAAACAACAGGGAAATGTTTTAATTAAATGCACGTTGACATAACTGAATGAATGAATGAATATGTAAAAGAGGGCCAAACATACTTACACATGAAGAGGCTGATGGGAAGTGTTTGAGCAACACAGTGAATATTTATGGCATTATTGGCATGTAATTAAGGCAAAGCATGTCGATCAATAAGCGACAATTTCAATTACGTCATATTTAAAAAGATTCGTGAAAGTTATTCACATAAATTTGTGTTAATGTAAAAAGCCAGTCATTCGTTATGTAATTTATGCCTTCATGCGGATACGTGCAAAGGGTGTCCAGAAACATACTTTGCTTCTCTAGCAAAAGAAACATTTTTTTTTAATAGCGATATAAAGCGATCTAGGTTTAGGAATATTTGTTAATATATGCTATTAAGCGGCAAGTCCAGGGATTCATTATTGGAAAGAACTGCAGAAAATTTCAAAAGTTGGTTGCATTGCGGGGAGCTGTCTTCGGTAAAAGTTTGCAAATTGACTGCTGCTTGTTTCCAACAGAGTTTAGATTTACTTCGCAGGGCGCTGTCGCTATTAAATTCCTCTTGAGCATTGTGTTGACAGATACTAACCGAAAAGCACGGACTTCAAGCCAGTTCTTAAACTTAACAAACGTCACGTTAAGGTTTTGTATTAAAAGGTAGCCCTCTAGATGTTATCAGCGACGTTTAACTCATTTGACATGCGTCTGATATTTGACATAAGTAATTTTAGATCGCATCTTTTCTTCGGTAATCTTAAAATAACGGGAATATTACATTTTTCTTTGACAGCATAAGACGATGCCCTGCTTTTGCTTTCAAATCATATTACGATAAATTTAAAATGACAATTCATTTCGAGACACCCACTGTGCATTTATACATTTTTCGATTTTTAAAACTTATCATCATTTAATGGCTTAGCATAATTAATCTCAACTTTTAGTTTTAATTCGTGAAAGAATTTGTGTAAGAAAAGCAGTAAAATGGCGGATAATATCCAAGACAATTTCAGACATACTTGTCTAATTGAAATGTAAATTATTCCATATATGAAAAGATAGAAGAGATTATAAGCGGAGAATTAAATTGTGTTAAGCAAATTAAAGGAATTTTCTCCCCTAGAGCCATACCATGAAAGGCTTGAACAAATACCGATGAATTGCTTCAGTTTTTTTTTTTTTTTTTTTAATCTTATTTTGTTGTCCGCAAATACACTCCCAACGACGACATCTCTTTCTCCTTCCTTTAAAAATACCGTCATACAAATGGAGGAGTGCATAAAAATCCCGGATAGCGCGCTCAATAGCAGAAAGGGGTGGGAAACACCAAATAAACGCCGCCATCGGTCGGACCGTAAATGACTTCCGCTTGCCGCTTGCCGCTTTCCCTAATTTTTACGGGTATCGACAAAGAGTTCAATCTGCCTGCTACATGCCTCAATTATCTCTAAAAGGTTGTCGTCAAGGCCGAAAGCATGTCAAAAGTCGATTCATCCTTTAAAGTCGTATATCCAACATGGAATTCGGTAGACAAACTTCTTGCTTCCCGATCGACTTTTAGACTTTTGCCGTGTACACAGCTTATTTTTCAGTTGTCGCTTCAGCAGTATTGCCTCCCGTAAGTTCCTAAAGCATCGCATGACGAATATGCACTTTTTCATTCCGTCGCAACGGTTTAAAAAAACGCGCAACACACAGAGCAATTGTCAGAAGACTGAGTAATTGGCCTTTTATCAATATAGTGAAAGCAATAACTCATTCATCCGGTCCAGGCATAGTTAAACTCTAGCTAACCTGGTTCGAGGACTATTTATGACTCGAGCTAACAGTTTACGGTATACTGACAGCCTTGTCAAACAATAATTTACTTCTATAAGAATGCGACGAATACTAAGAAAAGAAAGTCGTTTGTCTTCTGCTGCTTTGCGAATCCGAAATATTTCCTATTCTTCATTACGCATACGCGTACGTTGGACTCAATAAAATATACAAGACTATCAGTCGTTGTAAGTTCGTACAGAGCGAACAAGCAGCTAAAAGATGTATCTTGGAAAGACATTTTGAAGTATCGATCTCTTAACCCATTACGTGTAAAATTAATTCATCTAAAGAAACCAAGTATCTCTACAAAAGAATCACGTTCAACATATCGGGAGATGCATTTAAACCGTGTTACATCATTTCGGCATTCCGTCTCAAGGACGAGGATTTCATCAATGCTTTCAGGCTCGCAATTTGCTGCTCTAGTCTATGCCTATCCTATCCTATAATTAGTCGTTTTTCTCCCTTTTTCCCCGTTATATTTGCTTGTTTATACTTATTATTACATAGCGCACACTGTTTAATTGTTCGGAAAATTATTTTGTTTTTGCCCATCACTGGATCTAATTGTACTTTTTCACAGCCAAGTGCACACTTGGACCACATTTTCAGAAGATTTTAAGAAGATTGGTTTGATTCTGCAGACTAGCTTTTGTTCAACCCCGTATCGGATACGGAAAGTCAAGCAAAAAACAAATTATTGAACGTGGATCAAGAAGGTGTCTCGACAGAAGACCCTGCGAAAACTTGTTTACGACATTTCGTTTCGACAATTTAGATATTGGAGATGTACCGCAAGCTAGGAGGCCAATTGAAGCTGATGAAGACAAAATAAAAGGGATTAACTGATGCATGTCGACGAATAACAATCCGTACGATCGCCGAGAGATTGCGTTTATCTAATTCGAACGTTCATTTTGACCAAAAAGAGATGAAATGACTTCCCGAACAATCTAATAATTAAACCATTTTATATCCTCTGAATTTGCGAGGAACCCCCGCCCGCCGCTACTGTCAACGGACATTGCTTCTTCTGATTAAAGCTGATTGTGTTCAATGAATTATTGTCTGTTGGAGCCGGGCTTTTACGACTATATGCTCAGAAAACGGTTCTTTTCGCACAACGCCAAGGGAACTCATAACCTGCTCACAAAAATGGAGAATTACTGGGTGTGCGGTCAGCTCCAGCTTTGCAAAAAACCTATCGCGAAATTTCTTTATATCTCGCCTTTAATTTGACTAAAATATTGGCAGAAACTTATTCCCATTCGCAATAGTTGATCAATGTCTAAGATACATCCTAATATGAATATGGACATCTATCTAGTTCTCTATTCACATTCTTTGAGTGTCATTTCCAATTCACTTTCAAACTAAAAAAAAAAAAAAATAATAATAATAATTTTTATAACCTCTTTGCCTATATACCATATGTGTAATTATTGTGTCAGTCACACTATCAAGCAAACACAATAATACGTAAATTTATTGTAGCCGAAAGTACATATTGCAGAAGCTACAACATTGCCGCATTCATAATTGACTTCATATTCGATTCATTAAATGTTTACACAAGTAGTATATACAATATCGAATCGAAATCACATAAAGTATATATATATATATATATATTTGTGATCACCAAGCATATACCAAAAACACATTATGCAATCTATCGAATTCTATATACGATGTATATGCATAGGATGGATGGATTTTGCCTATCTAAGACTCCAACGTTATACAGATTAGTGATCGCGCGGAGTTAAACTTTTCAACTCTTTTGCTTACAAGGGAGCAGAAAATATTGATTGGAATTACAACGCATAAATAAATACTGTAGTATATGTATATGTATGTATGTATGGAAGTTCCGAAGTGATGAAAAGAATGCAACAAGAGTATCGAACTTTTTCACTATTTGACAATAGGGTGTTTGCAAGCTTGCAATGCACTTACAATAATTAAATGCCTTTTCAAAAACCACGTACTACGACGTTGTGGAATTTATAAAAGGTAAATGTCAAGAATGAAATTAAAATAGACACATAACGGCTCGAGCTAATGAAAGTTTTCATTTAACCATTAAGAATTTCAAATTTACAGTGCTTTCGAAGAGAGCGAAAACACATATATATGTATATATAACTATATATATAATACAATAGAAGCATATTCAATATGAATTACGACATGCAAAGTTAAAGCAAAGCAGGAAACATGAGCACAAGGGGCACACGATTGACAATCACGGCAGAAGAAAGTTATTCGCGATATTTGTAAGAGATTCGAATGGGGCGTAAACGAGGATCGGGGGCAAGCGGAGATTAAATTAATTATTCCTTATTATCATACGTTTCAAACTTGGCTCTCGTATTCAAAATAATATTTTTTTATTTTTCTTTCCTGGGCCTTTACGTATGCAATGTAATTCAAATTGCTTTCAAGTCGATCTTCGCCTATCGATATTTGCTGCAAAAGCAACGTAAAAATTTGACTTTTGAATATCAATTAGTTGACCATATCACCGGCCACCGATTATGGCTATATGAAGCGATTTTGCGGCTTACAACTAATCAATGAAATAAAACAAATAAAATTGCAGCTCTTACTTACCAGTACGTAGTGTGACTCTCCAAAAGAAAAGAAAAGAAAAAAAAAAAAAAGCAAAAAGCAAAAAGCAATACAGGGGTAAGGAAAAAATAGTTAAAACAACGCGTTTGGCAAAGTGGGTGAACAGCCATGACAGTAAACAAATGAGCGTAGAAAGCTTAGCCGAAGCGTAAGCATTCAAATAACACTACCAAAAAATCAATCAAACCATAAATATTGGACGAAATGAATAAGTCTTGCTTATTTATCATTGACCAAAAATATATATAAAAAAAAATAAATATGTGAAAAAAAAAAACGCAACAAAATAAACGACGAATTTCGTCAGTTTTCCGTGCTGGTTTTAACTTTTGGTTTTCTTACGCGACTGCAATGCTCTCTCTCTTGATACGCACAGCACAAGGCAGCACAGCGGGCCAAATTGTCGTCCGTATGTCTTCTCATTGTTAAGGGAGCGGCAGTATAAAATTACGAGTACTTGCTGAAAGTAATATCATTGTTTTCACTTCAATTACATAGTGAACATCATTAAGCATATACCACTGGCTCACTGATAGATTGGCAGACAAAAAGCAAAAGTGTGAAGTGCTTCGAGTCCCGAAAACTACAATGAATTACAATTTTAAATCCTTCATTGCAATCGGTTGCCTGCTACTGGCCGTAGCTTTGCCGCTTAATGCCGCTGCCATAGATAATGCCATAGTTGAGCCCCGAATATACAGTTCGGATGATTTGATTTCGACGATCGTTGATAAATGCGTCAACGCTAATGGCATGCATTGCATAAAGGAGAAAGTTTTAACCTATTTGGATACAGTTTCGGGCATCGAAGAGCAAATTAGTGGTCGTGCCTTCGACGATGATGTAATCGATAAAGTGATAGTGGACCGTGTGGCGCGCATATTGAATACGAATGAAATACGCGTTCAATTGCCTGAAACTGTTTTCGCTAATTCGGTGCTGTCCTATCGAGTGGATCGCGGTTTCGATTTAGAAATACCACAAAGCGAAGGTAATTAAATGGACGCAAATATGTTGAATAAGTTGAAAAATATTTGCCATTTATTACAGCTCGTCGTGACAAGAAAAAGGATAAACTCTTCTTGCCCTTGTTGTTATTGATGAAATTTAAATTGAAGGTTATCATGCCTATACTGATGTCTTTGATTGGACTCAAAGCTTTCAAAGCTTTGATTTTGTCGAAAATCGCCATAAAACTTGTACTCGGATTCCTAATCTATAACCTAATACAGAAATTGGGTGGAATGAAGATGACAATGATGCCCATGCCACATCCGCCTGCCGCTGAATACGGTGTGCCCAGTTCCACGGCTTCATCTTACGACCCCAGCAGTTGGGAACCGATGAACGGTGGTCCATACGCCCGTTCTGATGCTCATTATATGGCATACAGCTCATATCAGCCCAGCAGTTCTTCCAACACTTATAGCAATTCGTCTTAGAAAAACACAACACAAAGAACAACGAACAACGAACAAAACATATTTTAGAAATCCGCCTCCTTTTCGCTTACCTCCTGCCTACACGACACAGAAAGGACAATCACTAAGTGGTTTTGTACATATATAAAAAAAAAAGGAAAAAGCCCAAAAATTCTTAATGCTTAACGTAAAATTTCCCAGGACATGATGATGCTAAAGGACTTGTTAATATATATAAATATTTATTTAGTAGAAATTAAATTAATTTATTTTTAAAATCTTTCTCTTAATTTACTCAAGTCTCTCCTTCTAATCACGATTCTATGACTTTATATTCTTCTTCTTCCTTTTTTCATCTCTACTTGCTTCGCTTTGACTTAATTTATTGCTATTTGCCTCGATACTTTTTCTACCTCTCCTCTCTTAGGATCTGTGCATTTTAATGTTTTTTTCTTTCTTCTTCTTTTAGAACAACGAACCAAAAAATTTGTTAAGATATTTATTGAAAATGTGCATTAGCTTAAAAAATAAAAAAAAAAATAAATAAAACAAACACAAAATTTGTTTTCTAGAATCTAAAAAAAATGAGAACTCTCCTCCTTTATTCAAAACTTTTTTTGGGCTCATTCAGAATAATTTAGTTCGGGAACAATTTATTGCAGATACGAACCACGAGCGAGAGCGAACATGTTTATGATCAATTACAAAAGGGAGACGGCTGGCTGTTGCTAAAACATTCTGCCAGCAAAGGAATTGACGAGAAATTGCATTCGGTACACTCGTCCAAGCTTCTGCGACAATTACAACTAGATTACAAGGATCCATTTAGTAAAAGGAACATTTTAGCATTGACTCTCTGTTTGATTGATAGTGAATATCATTATGTAAAAGAATCTCTTATGTAAATTTATATAACATAATAACTGATTTGTGTGGTGAGACAATTGTACGCTACGTAATATTTCAATACACTCGTTCCTTCCTCCAAAATGTGTCTTGCTCATCTGAATTTTTAATCAATGCAAGTATAACATGAAATCTTGTTTAAGTTTTCAAATCAAAAGTTCTGTCAAGTCGATATTTTTGCGTCAAAGTTGATGCCTTATTCGATTGCTTATCGATTAGTTTTAAGCCTTTTTCGATATAAATGCATAAGAGAGATTTAATTGTCGAATTTTTTCACCTCTTGTTCAAAGCACGCAATAAAAACGGGTTTTTTTGCCTCGGAGAAGAACTTGAGAAATATATGAACCCATAAAAATAAATATAAATAAAAAAAATAATCCAGAAACATCTACATTATGTTCTTTAACGGCAGGACTTTGTGCCCGTTTGCCTCATTCGCATTAGTCGCATTGCTTGGATTGCTTGTGTGCATTCAAGCTAATGACGTCAAGAATACGTTTGAAGAGCATAAAGTTGTGCCCGATGTTATAGAGATTGCACCGCAGCAGTTCCTTGACGTATGAAGTTCTCGAATGTTTAAAACAACTACAAACAAGGTGTTCCTTTTAATTCGCAGGTAATCTACGACCAGGACATAAAAGCTGAAAAAGGCGTTCAATTAACTCCTACCCAAGTAAAGAATGAACCGAAGGTGATGTGGAATGCCGATGAAGATGCCTATTATAGCTTAATAATGACGGATCCCGATGCTCCAAGTCGTGCCGAACCGAAATTCCGCGAATTCCGTCACTGGTTGGTAGCTAATATACCCGGCAATCAGGTGGGAAAGGGTGAAGTTATTGCGGCCTACGTAGGTTCTGGTCCCCCGAAAGGCACAGGTTTACATCGCTACGTGTTCCTATTGTATAAGCAGCCCGAGAAAATAGCATTCAATGAAAAGCATGTAGCTAACAACTCCCGTGAGGAGAGACCGAATTTTCGCGCAGCTAAATTTGCTCAGAAATACAACTTGGGTTCACCGATAGCTGGGAATTTCTTCCAAGCGGAATGGGATGAATACGTACCAACCGTCCACAAACAATTGTCAGGAGGCAATTAACTTTAAATCGTTCACTTTTTAAATCAGTTTATATCGGTTGACAAACTATAAAACTTTTATGCGTTAATTTTTAATAATAAAAAAAAAAAGAGGGAAAAATGATTCTCGGCATTAGCTTTGCTTTCAATATTAGAACTATAATAATATTAAGTAGGGGTTGACTATTATTAATGACAATGGCGTTGCGATTCGTCGCTTGTAGAGCTTTGAAAACGATGCCAAAGATATTTCATTTACAATTGTCGGACAATTCGGCCTTAAGGTAAGCGCGTAACTCTGCAAATAAGACTTTACCTGTAAGTTAACATTCGTTATGTAGGCAGATCATGGAAGATGAGTAAATAGCAACAATCTCTTTCTAGGAACGCGTCGTCGACGTTGCAGTTTTGATTGAAACATACCCGTTCAGTATGTTTGCAGGTTATACTATCAATAAAGTAACTGCTAAATTTGAAAGCATTTTTCAAAAACAACTTAGGAGTTTTCAATTTGCTTAGCTTTTGAAGTCAAACTGCGAAGAAAAGCAATTTGTTTCGAGTCAGTCACTTTTGCAATATTCTAAAGAACCAGATAATACATAATGGCGCTAAGTTTTAAAAATTTAACTTTTCTCATCCATTTAATTGCTTGCATATTTAGCTATACTGAAGCCAAAGAACGACAAAATGGTAATGTGGAAGTAGAAAGGATATTCAAGAACTATAATATAATACCCGATGTTTTAAATGCCGCACCCCCGAGGTTTCTCGAGGTAAAAATTATACGTAATGCCTTCATAACTTTAATATCTAAACAAAATTCTATGCCAATCCATTTGCAGATTTTCTTTGAACCAAATTTGATAGCTGGCAGAGGGACTATATTGACGCCCACTCAAACGATACATCCGCCCGAAATTTTTTGGGAGGCTAAGCCAGGAGCATTTTATACTCTCATGATGATTGACCCCGACGCTCCTAGCCGTTCTTCCCCACGGTTCCGTAGTTATCAGCATTGGCTCGTCACTAACATACCTGGCGATCAAATAGAAAAAGGTGATATTGTCGTAGACTATATCGGAGCCGTGCCACCTAAACACACTGGCTTACACCGTTATGTGTTACTTCTGTATAAACAACCGCATAAATTGATAAAAAAGGAAACTTTTGTGCCTAGTAATTCTCGCAATGGCCGGTTTTATTTCAATGCATCTACATTTGCAAAAAAACACAACTTGGGCTTACCTATAGCTGCTAATTTCTTTCTGGCTGAATGGGATGAATATGTTCCGGTAGCTAACAAGCAACTGGAGGGCGGATATTAAGACGCTTTAACAAAAACTTTAGTAACTCTCAACTATTGTCCTCAATTTTAATAAATATCATTTTTGCTAACACTGGAGCGCTTCTTTTTAAAAGTCGCGTTCGATTTGAGATAACTGTACGATCGATTTCCGCTATTTATTTACCCGCACCTGTTACTATTACCGAATCCCCGCGTAAAAACATTCTCGATATAAAGCAACCTTTGTTTACCGGTTTCACTTTCCTTTTGCCTTTACCTGCGCGCCGAAGTTCAGTCTACATATCTAACATTTGCAAGCAGTACTTTACAGCGGCGATCAAAAATCTTAACCCGCCCCATCAACTTTTTATTATTACGATAATTTATTTAAACTTGTGTATTATTTATCACCGACTGTGTTAAAGCGCAGAGCGGTCCCGTATTGAATTCTTCCTCTTCTTTACGCGCCAATTTCTTCCGGCGTCAGTTCAGATTTTGGTTTTACTAATGTCCTGAAATTCAAATAGTTAAATGTACATAGCAAAATAATAATAATCAGAGATATAAAAATGTAACTTATTATAGTTTTTCGCTCACATTTCTTATTATTTTTTATAAATTATAAAAATAGTAGCCAATTCAACAATTGCTTTAGTAAACGTTTAAAAGTATTTCTTGCCAATGTTACCGTCCTTAATATTTACATATGAGAACGGGATTTCTAGTGCGTACGGTAAGGTTTATAGTTGCCAACTCTAAGAAACTAATGGCAATGCCCAATTGCATATTTTCTATGCAGCAATTGAAAAGAAGCGATCGTCTTCACCAGTTATCTAGTATTTTTACCCTATGCCTACCAAATCTAACTTAGCTTTATTAATGCATGTCTGATTGAAGGATTTGCAAAACGAAATATGAGTTTTAATTGTAATATTCCTAACCTCTTACAAAAGCGTCAATAGATGTATAGAAATAAGCTTTAATAATTCAGTTCCTTTCCTTTCAACTAATAACTTGGCTCTACCGTGATTATGCAATAATTGCTTTCGCGTCTGGAATGGACATCACCAGACTATTTTGAAAATATTAAGCAATTGACACAAAAATAAATTTCTTTTTTAAATACTAAAGAATTGATACAATTTTACAAAAACTACCTTTCTCGTAATTTCTTACGAAATCGTAGTTTATTCACAAAAACAAAATGTGTGCTTAAGTTTTTAGATTTATATTACTACTTAATTGGCAATAGTAACTTCCACCTCTACGCCAGGTTCAATATTAATCGAAGTAATTTTTTTGACTATCTCAGATGGAGAATGCAAGTCGATAATGCGCTTATGAATCCGCATCTGTAAAAAAAAATGCAATTAATGAAATGAAAAGATATTATAAAGACATTTGTAACACCGTTTGAGCCTTAAGAAAGTAGTATATTGATCTTTCAAAAGGACTATGATAGTGCGTTTGTTGTAAGCAAAACTTCTTGATACTGGCTAAAGTTAATTAAAAAATAAATCTAAAACCTATATCAGCTCTGCTAGCTTCCTTATGATTGGTTAAAGAAACAGTACCTGAAAACGATCCCAAGTTTTTGAACCTTCACCACAAGGTGTTTTACGGGTGGTAATGCGTAAAGTTTTTGTCGGCATGCGTACTGGTCCCTAAAATATAAAATGTTTCATTAGAATATGCATGCATATGATGATCTATAAATTATTTTGTCCGAATTAATTAGATCGCCCGTTTTCATATAATAGAAAACGGCGATGCTATATGTACAATTTTCTCTGGCATTTTCGACACTAGGCTTGAACTCCGTAGATGGAAGAAAAACCTCCAGGTAAACAAATGCCTTGGGCTTCGTTTAAAACTAACCTTCACACGCAAATTCTGATTCTTAGCGCCGTTGATTAAGTCACGGCATACGTTCTCCAGGGAGCGCACATTTCTTGAAGTTAAGGTAATGCGTATGCGGTGCACGGATGAGGAATCCGGTCCTTGTGGTTTTTCAATATCTTTAGCCGTAGCAGCCTAATAGATGAACACGCCATAAAAAGTGAGGTTAGTGTTTTATGTTTCAATGATCGCAATGATTGAACAATTTAAGATTATCGCAGAAAATTACTATAATTATAATAATTATTTATATTTACCATATTAATGCAGATATCTGGTAGAGATATTCAAATCCTTTATTTTGAGCAGCGCTGAACCAGACAGTTTCTACAACAGTTAACAACGAAATGGACGAGATTACGTTAAGGTGTTGCCAAAATAAAAAAAGGTGGATAAAATAATATTTGACTCGTATAAAGGAATTCGTAAGTTGACTTATGATAATACTGTAACACATGGTGCCACGAAGTGAGAAGCATTTCGTTGATGCGAAAATAACAAACCAAACAGGAACAAAGTACTAAACTCAGCTAACTGTCGAAGATCTCCTACACTTTTCGAAAATATATGGACTTCTTATGCAGTTACCAGCAAAATCACTCAGTGGCTTTCCCTCCGCGCAGCAAATCGCCAATTACATTTAAGCATTCATTATACCGTACAAGGGTATATTAAGTTCTTGAGGATGTATACAAGAACCCAGAAAGAGTTGATTTATTTGTGTCCAATGCGCAACGTTACATATTATGAAGAAATTCGGTGATTTGGCGTAATGATGCACCTTATTGACAATTAATGGTGGGCCTTGACCCACTACCATGTTTTCACTTGATTTACTATATTTTGAATAAGTTTAGCAGCGTTATTTAATGCTGCCTCACATTATATGACGATGAATGACAGATTAGATTGAAAAGGTTGGAAGCTACTAATCGGTGCGAAGAAGAGAGAAATCAAATCGACTGATGCTTTTGTAGTGTGTACATAAAACAAAAACAACACAACAAGTGTAAATTTAAAGAATTTTTAATTAAGCTGGTATCAATAAATTCAACAACAGTTTCAAAGCAAACGACAAATGTCAGAAAAAGAACGAAAATCCAGAAATCTCCAAGCACTTGATTGTTTGCCACTTTCGAGACAATGCGCCCATTGGGTAACTCGAAAGAAGCGATTTTGCAAAATGACCGTTGGCAAGAATAAGGAGTATTGCGGTGAGCATGAACCGGCTGCTGAGGCGTCCCATGGATGCGATGGGCAAGTTGAAAATAACGAAGAAAGAATATTTTGCCCTTTAGATAACAAGCATACCATATATAAGAAGAATCTACGAAAACATTTAATAATCTGCAATGCTCGTCCCAAAAGAGAAATGCCACCGTATATAGTTAAAAATTTTAATGCGGGCGAGGCATACGACGACAACCATTGCGAAATTTTGCCAGAGTTACGTTTAGCTAATCTTAGCGATGAAGATTTCTTTGCCGTAGTAGAAAAAGTTCGTGATATATATACGAAATGCATAGATAATAACATTTCTTTCTTGGCACTCAATCACGAAAGTTTGGAGCAGGAATTAACCAAACAAGAGTATGGGAAAGAGTCTCGTAAACATTTATCCCAGACCTCTGCATTATTAGGTATTTTGAGTGCTGAGCAGCTTATAAGCGATTCAGCATGTTTCGTGGAATTCGGTGCTGGTAAGGGACAATTGGCTTATTATTTAGCTACGCTGTTGGAGAAGAAAGAGAATTCCCAAGTGATATTAGTGGACCGGATGTCGTTGCGTCACAAAAAGGACAACAAAATTAAAGATCGCTCATTAATAACGCGTATTCGGTGTGATATAGCTGACCTTGATATAGAAAAGTTACCATTCATTCGGCCAGATCAGCATGTTGTGGCAGTTTCAAAACATTTGTGCGGTGCAGCCACAGATTTGACTCTAAGATGTGTAACACAAACAAAGCTGAAACATGTAAATTTCGTACTTATTGCTCTTTGTTGTCATCATCGTTGCGACTGGGGTTCCTTCGTGGGTAAAGAATTCTTCCAAGAACATCATCTTACTCCAAGAGATTTTTTAATTATAACCAAGATGGCTAGCTGGGCTATATGTGGCACAGGCATGAGTCGCGAGCGTCGACTAGCGCTACAAAAGCAAGACATACCACCTCAACAGGCCAGTGACACTAAGCAACGCTTATGTTTAGCTGAAAGAGAAACAGTTGGGTTTATGTGCAAACGATTATTGGACTACGCTCGCCTGAAGTTTTTGCAGTTGCACGGCTATGATGAAGTTTCATTAAAATACTATATCCCTAAGAATGTAACATTAGAAAACATTGTATTATTAGCTAAAAGGGAAAAGGTTTTATAACCACTTGTATTTGAAAATGATTATGTAACACATAGATTACAATATATATGTGAAATAATTTCCATGAGCTACCTGAGGAACTGTTGCTGAGCCGATTTTTCTCCTTTTTTTGCTCTTTTCATCAAATAAATTAACTAAATTTAATATTTATCCAATCCATTAATTTTGGACGACAATTATTTTCGAAAAATTTGAGGAATTTCATTCGGAGAACTTAGACAGAAGGTGTAGACGGAAGGCTCCTTCGCCCCGTAGTTTCACACTGCAGGGTGGTTAAGAGTCGAATAACGAAATTGAAAAACGTACTTTCGTGTATAAAAAGTAAAAATCAATTTATAAATTTCCTTTAAATTGGACAATGTTCGAAATCATAGACGGTTTTATGGCTTGAGTAAGGTTGAGGTGTCGCAGCTCTTTTTGTATTTTTACTTTTGTTTTTTTAGCTACCAAGCCTTCATCGAATTTTGTGTGATTGTTATTAACTATTACCTTCGTCTTTGACATAGATGTCGCATTATCTCTGTCGTAGCTGGTTGTTTTGGCTATCAAGTCCTGAGGAATTTTAAAATTGATTGCACAATCATTGTGGTACGAAAATTGTCGGTTTTATTGTGAAGCACTTTGGCTGCCATTTCGCTTCCAAAATTCTTCTTTCTCGGCTTCGATAATAAAACATAATAGTAATTAGACATATTTTCTAATGAGAACTGAAAAAGATACCTTGAATATCTTGAGCACAGTTTAGTTGACAAATTGTATTCTTGTTTAAACCATAATTCTTGCAAATCTCGTTAGAAGATAATATGATGATTGCCTTTAACCTGCAATGGTGTAGGACTAATAATACTTGATGGCTGCTTAGGAGATTGTAAATCTTCAATGTTTTGATTTTGGTGATCGCTCGGCCTGGTTCTTTTCTTCATATCGTTGTTTTTTTGCACATTCCATGATTTCCAGGATTTCCACTTTAATACTATTTGATGTGGGTTTTCATTTAAAAGCCCATCGTCCCCGTATACCAGATTTCTTATGTAACAATTCCTAATGACGTACTCTTGCTTTTTTTCACGTGCCATCATCTTTTTAAATTTCTCACCATCGCTTCTACTGGCACCTTTTGTAATGGCATCCACCAAACTCCAAACATTGTCCGAACACCTCGAAGAGCTATTGTTACACAGCCAAACAGCTTATGGAATAAATTTCATTTGATATGTTCGTACTTATTTACATCCTCTGAATCTATTCGTGTGCGAGACTGGAGATACGTTGTTGTACATTCTTGCAAATAATTGCTGCCAAAAACTCGCCAAATCGTTTTCAGTTCACTTCGGCTAAGGCCAATTCTTTTTATACAATAAAAAACACTTGGACAAATTTCGGACAGTATTCTTTAACAGTTGCTATAATTACAAAAAATAAGTAAAAAATAAATAAAATAAAGAAATGCAGATAACACGGGAGTGTTATACAAACTTTTAAAGTCTTTTATGTCAAAAGCGCAACACTGATTTATTTATTGCATATGTTTTCATAAAAGAAAAATTTTATTTTTTTAAACATATATTAATTGTTTTTTTATATGCAATATTTTTATCTGACTTTCTTAATACTCTCTTATAAGTGAAGTGGTGTTATTACTATTGATCCGCAGCCTCCTACTACTTTGAAAAAGTTTCAAGTAATTGTTGCGAACAACAGAACGAAGAAGAAACGGGTTTATGTACTGATAATTAATTGCTTTGTTAATTCCATCCTCAAGTTTTGTATAGTGATTCAGGTTTCTATGTTTTATTGAATTGAATGCATGCAAAGTACAGCCAAAAATGTCGAACCCATTTGATAATCAAGAACAATTAATTACTAATACGTACGATGTTTTGAAACGCACTTCAGACAGCATTCAACGTTCTAATATAATTGCTTATGAATCAGAGCAAATTGGTACCGAGGTAAAAACTTTTCTTAATAAACTATGAAAACACTTTTTTATACTATATTCGATTCTCTTCTATATTTTATATTGTAGGTCCTTTCAGAATTAGGAGAACAGCGTGAATCGCTTTTGCGTTCAACCAGACGTCTTGAACATGCCGATAGTGATTTATCACAATCGCGTAAAATCATACGTAAATTAAACCGTGAAGTTCTCTATAATAAAGTTATACTTTCTTCAATAATTTTCTTCGAAATAGTCATATTAATTGGTTTAATTGTGATAAAATTTATTAAATTCTGATAACGCGTTTTTGTTATATCAAAAATTTTGTTCTTATACGCGTTAAAAATTGTATTCATGAAATATAAAACCAAAACCTTCTTTTAAAGTTATGCAAAAAACAAACTGTTTGTGTACTTTTCAATTAATATGCATAAAAATGTGCAATTTATGCCTCAGAGGATTGTGGTAGACTGCGAACACTCGCTTGCTAAATCATAGCAATTTTACTCCTAGTTTTTTCCGCATAGTTCTCCTTGTTGTATACGTTTTAAAATTAGAAAAAGAATAATTTAATTTGAAAATGTCTGCTTACATAAAAATATTAAAATTATATATGTTTTATCAAAATTATAAAAGAGTGAAGTTAGTCGACAAGCGTATACCGCTGATCTGTAATAAATATAGTAGATTTAGCTCGATGGTAAAAAAAGTTCAAGACGCTTATATCCCTCACCAAAATCAATATCTTTTTATTTTATTTAAATTTTATTTATTTTTTTACTTTGATAGGAGATGATTTTGTTTGTATAAACTTTTTCAACAATCATAAATAAACGAATAGCAGTTTAATTTTTATTGAGAACATTGTAATACTTTAACAACATAATGTTCGGAGCTTCCATTAAATTTCCTTAAAGTATCTCGAATACATAAAATTTTCATGATTTCATATCAAAAAATAAATGATCAATTCAAAATTCTTTTGTACGATTTATACGTATGCACACCCATATACTTGTTTAAAACATGCGAACATCATTATTATTTTAATTGCATTAAAAGAGTGTGCAATGGTGCAAGTGAGTAAAGTGGAATTCTTAAATGCTAACATTAAAATCTGCGGTACTTCTGTCATTTTAGAAATGAATATAGTAATTAAAAGACAAAATTATTATATTTGGTCACGCTATACAATTGGTAGTTTGTTAGGGAAACATCAATCAAATAAAAGCTAATTATTATTATGAATCAATTGAAGAATGCCTTAGGTTTAAAATGCTGTTTTTGATAATTTTCAATTATCTTTCGGTAATACTACGGACCATCCAAAGACGCGACGATCAAACCCGCAAGAGAAGAGATCGCAATTTAATAATGGCTCTTCAGCCCAAGCGACAGAAGAAACCATTCGCCTATGACCCTGTAAAATCGTTTGTGAATATTGCATTTGTGGCACTGAATTGTTTTAATCTTACTTGTCTTGACGTACGTGGTAATCGCGCGATCCTTTGACCATTCAAATCGAATAAGCGAATTTGCCTGTTGTCATGGGGTATAGCTATTATTCCACCATTAGAAACTGCTAAGCGATTTACTGACGAATCGGTTCGTATGGTTGTTAGAGCTGAACGCATATTACGCAATTCCCAAACTTTAACAGTACGATCATCAGATCCTGATACTACTTTATCATCCCGGGTGAAAACTGTCGATGTTACACTTCTGTAATTCGGATCTTTTATTGATTCAGAAGAGAAAAAGCATTAAGAAGTGTTTGCCCTTACTCAGTATGGCCCTGAAATACGGATACACCTGATATTGGATCTCTAAAATCCCACAATCGAAACGTTGAATCTCTTGAAGCAGTCACTACCAATCGTTGAGTTGGGTGAGCCGAAACATGTGTTAGCTCGTGGTCGTGACCAGACAATGGTTGCAGAGGCTCCCGAGTTTCTACATCCCATAAAATTGCGATGCGATCCCAGCTGCCAGTAATAATTTGATCCATATTCGACAACCAATCAGCAGCAACAACTACCTAAAATCAATGATTGGGAGTGTTCATCTTACATTTGTGATATATAATTTTGCGAGAAATGCGTTCTTTACCGATAAATGTCCTCCAGGACCGGTAAATTCGCAAAGAGGTGTACGCAGTGTGTCAACACGATCTCGATCTTCCACTTGTTCGTCACTGTCGTCTAATTCTTCTTCTGACGAGTGTCCCTTCCTATTTACGCAGCGAATTGTAAGAGAATTTGCGGCAATGTCATTTTATTTACTTACTTGGAAACTTCCCAATTTACAGCTGCCTGCCATATATGAGCAGTTCCATCACCACTGCCTGTTAATACTAAATCTCGATTATGATGAAATTTAATAGAATTGACAGAACCAGCGTGCCCTGTATATTGCAGTAGGCAACGACCGCTTTCAATACCCCAGATGCAAGCTGTGTGATCGGCGGAGGAAGTACCAAGGATTGGTTGACCAAATTTAGCAGCTACTTGCCAAACGCCATCCTTGTGACCGCAAAATTCACGCATTACTGAACTAACCGCCGATTGATTTTTAAAACTAGACACAATGCGACTCGTCTGTGCCTTGATTTTATGACTAGCTTTCACTTTACCGCCACTTGAAAATTTGGATTTAAGACTTTTACTGCCTGTAACAACTGCAGTGCCAGCTGCATCAGTCTCTTCATGGCTAACAACAGTGAGTGGAGCACTGGATGACACATTGCATTGATTTGTGGCTGTACGTTCATGTGACTGCAACGATTCCTTATTCACGTACCCATCTAATTTGTCCTGCAAATGCAGGTTTTCCAAATAGAGTAACTCGAATTCCTTTTCAATTTGAGCAAACAAATAATGAAGTCTACTCCGAAAAGGTACCTCATCTGGTATACCCATATCTTCGAGGCGAGACGATCGATTTTTGGATGATTTCATATCGTTTTTTTTAATACGAAAATACTGATGTATGGTTAATAACGCGTTTCTCGTATACGTCTACACAAAAAGGTTATTCAGACGCATTCCTTGAAGTTGCAAATTTATAAGCTTTCAGGTGCTTTTTTTGTTCTCCAAATCCTTTGCTAATATTGCCAATATTTAGAATATAAATATTTCTGCTCCAAAAGAAAAAAACTCGGAAAATTTCCTTTTTCCTTTATATTATCAGCTGCTTTCAATTGGAACGAATGAAGGTTATTCCTAAATTTTTGGTTTTTTGTGCTTGCATTACCGAAGGATAAAATGTTGCATTTGGCAATACTGTTCAGTTTTCATCCAAAAAGTCAATATGGCGTGTGTGCTTATTAGTATTCTACAACTTAGAATTTAAAAGACATTTGCTTAAAATCGAAGAAAATTGATTAGAAAGAGTAGTGTGAAAAAATGACTACAATCGCTGATTTATTTACAAAATACAATTGTACAAATTGTCAAGATGACATACAGGGCATACGTGTACATTGTCCGGAATGCGACAATTTCGATTTATGTCTGCAGGTAAGCATGTTGATTTTTTCCTTACAAGGATCTTTTATGATTGATGAAAAAAAGGGGAGAAAAAACTGGTCATTTTCCAATGGGAGAAATATAAAAGAGAAGTAAAAAGTAGCGATTCACTTTTGATAACTGACCTAAATTTCAGACTGCTGGTTTTAAAAGTATTTCTATATATCATATGATTAGCAACGTTTAATACCTGGAATCGAGTAATGATAAACATCCAAATGACCATCGTGACCAATTTCTCTATAAGTTAGCTAAGAGTAACTTCGTACTTAGGTAGTAACTTATTAGATGAGTCATCTGGTAGTTTAAATAAGAGCTGCCAATATACGAATATACGCGTAATTTCATTGGCGGTCGATTTGATAATTTATTCTGTGGTCTTTTGCATTTCAGCAATGCAACTGCCGTTTTGCATACTACGGAAGTATTTTTAGCATCAAGCAATCTGGCTATAGTTTCCGATTCTCTAGCTAATATATGAACAGATTTTCTGTATTTATTTTGCTCTTTATGTTCGCAGTGCTTTGCAGCTGGAGCGGAAATTGGTGCACATCAAAATAATCATCCTTATCAATTCATGGATACGGGAACCACGATTTTGTCAGTTTTTCGTGGCAAAGGGGCATGGACCGCTAGAGAGGAGATACGTTTGTTAGATGCAATTGAACAGTATGGGTTTGGGAATTGGGAAGATATAAGTAAACATATCGAAACCAAATCTGCCGAAGATGCCAAAGAAGAATACGTTAATAAATTCGTTAATGGTACCATTGGCCGTCATACATGGACACCTGCCCAATCACAACGGCCCACATTGGTTGATCACACATCTGAAGACGCAGGTCCGTTAGGAGCAGCCGCTCTTCAACGCTTACCCCCTCTAGACATAACAACAGAGGAGGCTACCCAGCTTGGCTATATGCCAAACAGAGATAGTTTCGAGCGGGAATATGATCCAACGGCCGAGCAGTTAATATCGACATTATCATTAAACGCTGACGACACAGAAGCCGATTATCTGCTTAAATTAGCGCATGTTGATCTGTACACGAGACGCTTAAGAGAGCGCGTACGCCGGAAGCGTTTAGTGCGCGATTATCAATTGGTATCGAATTTCTTTCGAAATCGAAATTATTCTCAATATCCGAGCATGACACGTGAACAAAAGGAATTCCGTGACCGATTTCGCGTATTCTCGCAGTTTTACACAGCAAATGAGTATGAACGTTTACTCGGCTCTCTAGAGCGCGAGAAGGAGCTACGTATTCGCTTGTCAGAACTATGCCGTTACCGTTATAATGGTTTAACAAAAATCACCGAATGCCGTCATTTTGAGCAGCACGCAGCCGTAGCAACTGGCCGCTCAACAGGACCTTACGGGCACGGCAAGACAGTGAGTTATTCCATCATTTAATTACATAGTTATTTAGAAAAATATGGAATATTCTTGAATAGAAAATATATCATAGCTATTTATAATTAATGTGTATATACTGCTAATACACGAAAGCTTTTTGAATATCGTGTGATAATGAAAGGATTATAGTGATTGCTTGCTTTTCTGTGCAGAATTGATTTGAGAATTATTCGAAAAGTACTAACGTTTTATTTACCCTTTTACGATATTCAGCTTCCGTGTATTATCAGCACAGCAAACGGCGAACGTTTGAATGGATGTATAAGACAATGTTTAACTACAGGACAATACGCAACACAACATTGGAAATCATCAGCAGCAAAGCTATTCCTTGCACTGCCCTCAACTCAACAGCCGAAGACAGTAAGTCGGCGAATTGCAGTTTTCAATAGTAATATTTTAATATTTCATTCAATTTATACTTTATAGCGAGGTGTTAAACGGAAACGAAACAAATTTAAGTTCCATCGCACCAAGCAACATGCTCCACATCGGCGACCAGATCTCTTACGTCGCATCATCGCACAACAAAAACTACTTGGATAGCTATCGGGGATCACCGGGACATACAATGACGATGACTTCGACGACAACGGATATGATGTCAACGGGGACAGGGATATTGGGAACGACAATTCCAGCCGCAACAATGCGGACACAATCAACAAGTATCAACAGTCAACCTCAACTGCAGCAATTACTGGTGGCATCTGCGAAAAACCCAACACAAGTACAAATAAACGACGCCGCCATTATCGCAAATCAAACCGTAGAAAAGCAGCAAATTCACGAAAGCAACAGCAATCTGATGCAGCTATCAAACAGCAATGCAAAAGAACAACCGTTAATAGCATATCCAGCTACGCCAATGAGTGAAATATTGAGAGCTCAACTAGAAGAAATCAAACGTTTGCCACAACTTCTAGGCACCAATCTGCTAACAAAGAATGAGCAACAATTATGCAAAATGTTTAACTTGCAACCAACAATGTACCTATCATTGAAAACGATTTTACTTAGCGGCGCGCCAGTAGCTGCTAACAATTTGTCACCCGTGGAGAGTTCCTTACGTAAATATTTTATTAAAGTAGGTTGGCTAAGTCATTAAATAATTTGCATAAACTTGATTTTCCCGTTATTATTAAAGCCCTCGTTTAAGTGTATAAAAAAAAAAAAACAGAAGGCAATTAGGTTGTTTTAGGATTTCTTAATTTAGCACTATTAAGAACAACTCGAACATTACGTTTTTGTTGACTAACATATATATATGTATATATTATAAGTAAATTAATTAGCCATTTCCAATGGAAATGTCCTCATTTCAGAAGTCAAAAACAAATCTAATGTCAAATGAATTTTTTGTAACTTAATACCGTCTTTTTTTCCACTATTATTACATTTCATTGCTTGCTTGCATCAAGTTGCAGATGGAATGTAAAATTAATTTATATCTATTTAATGATTTAATTTTATGTGTTATATACAGGAGTATAAATAATTATTAGTAACATGAAGTGCTATATATTTATTTCTCTAAGCGCACGAAAAGATTGTTGGCGCAAAAGAAATAAAAATTGTAAATAAATTTGTGAAACCAAATAGTTTCGTTTTAATTTAACTGCATTTGGAAAAGGATTCTCTCATTCTTTCAAAAGCTATTCAAGTAAACACACAATATTCTTCTGTTATTATTCGATTGACATAAACATACATATCGCATCAAAGGGAAATTATACGGACTCGAGAGTCAAGTCTAAAAAACGCGAAAAGCCCTGATTTGATTAATTCGAAAGCTAAATCAGATTTGAGAAAAGCATGACTTGTGCTTGTAGGGAAGAAAGGCTTTAGATAGACTCATCTTTCGATTTAGAATGATTTCCTGAATCTTTATTGAATCATTTTCGCACCGAAACTTCAGGAGGCGTCAAGTATGTCCCGCAACAACAATATAATGTTAACAACGTCCACAAAGCGAGGCAACGTGGATTTTAATTTTTCCTTTAAAATCTAATCTCGTACCATTTATCAGAATCGCATAATACTTCAAATAAAAATATAGTTTTTTGGTGCGACACACGCCACAAGTCTTTTAATTTTTTTTCTTTTGATCGAAGAACGAAATGAACTTTTTGAACTCATTTTTTTCTTGACTTGAGTAGATTGGATAAAATAATATCTTAGCGCCGTAAAGCTAGCTGAGATGTTTTACACTTTGTCCTGGGAGAAAAGGATAAAGCAAAATATATCTGTTTTCTCTTTTTCCATTTGTTTAAAAGGGTCTTTCCCATATTACTACGAGTTAATTATAAAATTTTTTTTAATGAATAAATTATGAATTATAACATTACTTTCTCTCTCCCTCTTTCTCTTCGCAAAAAAACTCGATAACCAAATTACAAAATAAAAAAAAGAAAGTATCGAACTTTTACAATAAAGAATAATTCATTAATTCGTACTTGCTTGTTTAAACATCACACGTTCAATGGTTCAATAATTTTTCTTCAAGTAATAATACGAAGCATGGTACATACAAGGGCGGCATCACTTATTGCGTAAAAAGTATCGGTAAAGGGTATTTTTCTGAACTCCATTAGCATTGGCCACAGCCGTTTTGGCAGTTGCATTGCCGGCTGACTTTTGGTGCTGAGGAATCATGCCTCTGTGGTCCGCATTCGATATTTCCTTGGGAGAACCCAACTGTGAGATGTTACCATTCGATATAGCAGCTGCTAAGGAATCACGCCACGAATTGATTAGCTCCTTTTGTACATCTACTGGCAGTTCATTGAAGACTTGCGGATCTACCCCTGCTGGACATGGTACATTCGATAAACCTCCCGTCGTTGTACTTTCAGTTGTTATTGGAGAAGTTTGCGAATCCGTTTCATTTTTATTTGGTTTCTCTGAATTTAATGCTGGAACGGCCTGAGGCGGTGGTGAATCCATATTATTGTCATCCATTGAAGATGGCAATGTAAAGGCTGCAGCTGATAAGGAATTTTGAGGATTACAATTGTGGACGTCGTTTGCTTGAAATGTTTCAACGCGTTGATGTAACACAGCAGATTGTGGAGCAGCCGGTAAACGCGGATGCACTTGAGTTACGCCACCTGAAGTGCTAATATTTGTAAAAATGGTATTTTGGCTGATATTTGCATTAGGACTAATAGGAATATCTCTGTCGCTGTCACGGGAATTCAATCGCAAATCGCACACTCTTAGTTTACTTGGTGAAGCTATGTCAGCTGTGGTATCATTCGAAAGGGCAGAGTTGCCTAGGCAACGACGCTTGTTTATAAGCAAACGTCCAAGACGAGTCTTCTTAGGAGATGGTTCAACTTCCGTTTCGGAGAAATCGGAAAAATCCGAATTAGTTGCGGCTGATTCAGATCCGTTGTCTACTAACATCGGAATTGGAGAAGCAGTCATTGTTCGTCGCCGATAGAATTGATCGCTTGACTGAAACGTGGTCGGCGAAGAGCGGAATGCCTCAGATGAGTTACTGGAGAGCGGTGAAAGATTATCCGTAAAGGATTCAACATCTGTATTAATAAGCGATGTAATAGACTGGACCTCCAAATCAGTCTTTTTGATAAGAAAATTTGCTATGGATGAAGAGCCTATTTTGCGTTGCTGAAATTTGGAGAAAGCTAGTCCAATTAGAGTAATATTAAAAGGTTTAGCCAAATCAACCACACGCTCAAACAATCGCATAATGATTTTCAAGAGCTTCTCTTGAGCTCCTTCCGTAAATATCACTTTTGCACCGCCAGTGTCTGTGCATGGAGTTATCTTAAAGAGCGACGGCAGTATGTTAGCTTGTTTTGTTTCGCGGTGACTGCTTTTCTTCTGCGCATCGTATTTACGGAGAATAACTTTAATGCATATTGGGATGCGGCCATCTTCAGCAACCTGCTTGAAATACACAAGAACATTATAAGATCTATCTTCATAATTACTAACACCGACCTGTTCCATTAAACGCATTAGCAATAAACGAAAACGTTCCTCGACTTCATTTCGTACTGATATTGGTTTGCATGAATCTTCCAATCCAATGCTTTTTGGTTTTCCGGTGGTTCTTACCGTGCCCGTATCGCGACCAAAAGCTAAATCCTTCAATTTTATGGCAGTTTCGTAGCCAAATTTCTTACGGAGTATGTCCATATCACAGCCTTGTAATTCTTCAATATTGGCGATGCCACTCTCAAGTAAAAGGCATTCAGTTTTTTGGCCAATTCCTGTTACTCGATGCAACCCGCACAAATTACGCATAAATTGCTCACTGTAAGACGACACCAAAACAGTTTGCTGATTTGGTTTATTTTGAGCACCCACAAGTTTGGCAAGAAGTTTATTGTAGGAAATTCCTGCACTGCAGGTTATGCCGAGTTTGGCATGCAATTCTTTTCTTATTTCTTGAGCGATATGAGTGGCCAGTGTTAAACGGTAAGCGCATCCACAGCTACAAGCATTTAAATTCATACCGTCAGCGGGATAAATGAAGCCCTCAACAGGGGATAAATTTGCATTTGGCATGCAGACGGTATTCATTTGCTGTTTACGTTCCTCGACCAACATAGAAACGTCCATAAAGTTCTCATCCAGTCCAAGTTTTTCCACCGAAGATGTAAAGTTCAGAAGTAGTTCATATATTTTTTGAGACATCTGACGATAAGGTGTCAGATCCTCTCCATTTACTAAAATTAAATCGGGACATAAACGCTTAGCATCTGCAACAAGCATTAATTTTTTTACACCGTGAAAGCGAGCCTTATAATTGCAAGTGACTACAAAGTTCTTCTGCTGTACTCCTAACGGTTGAGAACATAAAGAGGGATTTTTTATTTCTTCAACTTGTGCATAGAAGTAGTCCATATCTAAATGTATGATTGCGCGCTGATGTCCACTTTGTTTACTGTTGGGCGCGCTAGTGAAATCCATTGTTACGCTCCTAAGAGATGACAGCTGGAAATACAATTGGGAAATTGTACAGAACATTTAATTAATCTTCGTTGAAATTTTAGATTTCATTATAAAGCAAACTCCTAATTTTGTCACTCCTAAGGCAGCAAATCATGACGAACGCGTGTTAAATAATCAAAAATTAAATAATTACGGCATTCGAACATCTTACACATTACAGTATTTTTTTTAATTAAGATAATGGAAACAAATTTTGATTTTAAAGTACCAAATAACGCTAATGAAATATACAGTGAGAAAACACAAGAACGAGATGACGTATATATTTCTATTCACTTTTGTTTTTATATGCAATTATTCCGCGTTTCTCCTCTTTTCTATGTCTGAGAGTTTTTTCTCCGAAATTGCAAACAAAGCAATTACGACCCTAACAGCGTTAATTAAAATTGCTTTTCGTTTTGAAAACTTGTTTTTTCTTTTGCATTAATTCTCAACCTCTTCTGAATTATAATTGAAATATAATTGCGAATCATAGCTTACTTTGTTTGGTTTCAATGTAAAAAATTATTTCTATTACCAAAATTAAAATTTCACAATTAGGGTTTCCAAGCTTTTGCAACAGTTTTGATTTTGACATTTGTTAGGCAACTTCTTCCTATGAAATAAACGACGTCTTTTTAATCCTTTCAAATTAATATCTAATCATATCATTTTCGATTGTTAATTTGCTGAATAACTAAAGAAGAAAAAGATTAATATAAACTTTCAAGCTAGAACATCTTAAAATTGTAAATATATAATTTTCAATATAAGACAAAATTATCTTAAGAGAACGTCGAAAAAAGTCAAATATTTGCAATTTCTAAATTTAGCATCAATTAGCGTTTTTTTTGGATAGTTGACATCACCATTCAAGATGATGTAAATTCAGTAGAGTAATTGGTAGTTGATTAAATTAAATCCAGGGTTGTTAGTAAACACGCATTTCGAATTTTGGCGTTTCACATTAACGGCATATAGTTTATTTGTGTGTCAAGCGACAATCGACGATTTTTATAAAAGCAAATTCTGCAATAAAAATATTAATAATCAGAGCTACTGCGTATGCAAAGCAATAAATGGAATCAAAGCTGCCAAAGCCTACCACAAATAAACGGCCCGTATTGTTAATGGATAGAAATAAATGCCAGCCTCACAATTTATTAAATGTGGGCCGATTCGATAATGAAAGTAAGTATAAGCAAACATTGTTAAAACGGTAAATTTTCATTTGGGCATTTTACACGCAGTGCGCTCAAATTCCCCCGACATGCAAAGGTCAGCTCCATTACAGCCGCGTGTAAAATTAAGGCGAAGTCGTTCGGCCTCAGATCTACGTGATTTAAAACCTATGAAGCGCCATGAAACTACATTAGCACCCATACCAGCAAAGGTCGCTCGTTTAATTCCACCTTCCTCTGCTAGTAATATTGCTAATGCGTTCAATCCAACAAATCGTCCACCGCGAATTGGAACCTCTAATTCAGGTATCACGAAACGTTTGACAGCGCAAACATCTAAAGCACCTCCTACAAAACGCGCGGCTGCAGGTCCTGCCAATTCTACGGTAATAGGTGCAAATTCTAGAAAGCCAATGTCAAGCGCTACTACTACTTCTCTATCTACTACTGGTGCGGTAAAGCCCATTAATAAGCGTATTCCTCCATACGATTTTAAGGCGCGCTATAATGATTTGTTAGAAAAGCACAAAGTGTTAAAAGAAAAATATGAACAAGTGGAAAATTTGCCAGAACAGCTGGAAGAAACACAATCGCATTTAATAAGTACCACAGAAGAATTGAAGAACACTAAAATCGATAAAGAATGTTTGCAACGTCAAGTAAAGTCACAGCAACAAAAGATTGAATCGTTGGCCGATTCTTTAACAAAGACTACCGATGAGCTTCAAAAGCTTAAGCAGGCATATAATGTAATAAAAAAGATAAACGCGTTGAATCCTTTTGATAAAAATCTTTTTACTTTCAGAAAATAAAACGAGAGCATGATGAGCTCAGCGTTGAAGTACTGGAGCTACGCGATCGTTCCGCAGATCTGGAAGATAAGAACTTTAAATTAATGGAGGATATTACGACATGTAAAGAGCAACTCTTTCGTTCGAATATGGAACGCAAAGAATTGCACAATGCTGTTATGGATTTGCGTGGTAATATACGCGTATTTTGCCGAGTTCGCCCACCTCTTGATTTTGAACAGGATAAATTACTTTGTGGATGGAATTATGTCGATGAAAGCACTGTGGAAATAATTAATAATGATCCATTAGTCAGGGCTAAAAACAATGGCCACAGTTTCAGTTTTGATCAAGTATTTCAGCCGTATAGCAAACAAGAAGACATTTTTGAATTAGTTTCACCTTTGATCCAGTCAGCTTTGGATGGTTACAATGTCTGCATTTTCGCCTACGGTCAAACTGGTAGCGGCAAAACTTTTACTATGGACGGTACAACTGCAAATCTTGGAGTGATACCGCGCACGGTTGATTTGTTATTTGATTCTATAAAAGCTTATCGAAATCTTGGTTGGCAATATGAGATCAAAGCCCAATTTTTGGAAATTTACAATGAGGTCTTGTATGATTTATTGGACAATGAGCCAAAAGAAATGGAAATTCGCATGATGAAGAATAACAAAAATGATATATATGTTTCGAACATTACCCAAGAAACCGTAGATAATGCCGACCGTTTACGGGAACTTATGAAAGTTGCCGGAATGAATCGTGCAACAGCAGCTACTGTCGGTAACGAACGCTCTTCACGATCTCATGCAGTTACAAAAATTGGACTAATTGGCACTCACATAGAAAAGCGTGAAACGTCGATTGGTTCAATTAATTTGGTGGATTTAGCTGGCTCAGAATCACCTAAGACTAGCGTGCGTATGAACGAAACGAAGAATATTAATCGATCATTATCGGAGCTTACAAATGTCATATTGGCTCTATTACAAAAACAGGACCACATACCCTACCGCAACTCTAAGCTAACGCATTTATTAATGCCGTCCCTTGGTGGCAATTCGAAGACGCTCATGTTCATTAATGTGGCTCCCTTTCAAGACTGTTTCAATGAATCTCTAAAATCGTTGCGGTTCGCTGCAAATGTCAATCAATGCAAAATAGCGAAAGCTAGGCGCGTTCGCATACTTAACACCTCCAACGCTAACAACAGTAGCTTAATCTAGAAATACCTATATTTTTTACGACATTAAACAAGAAAATGTTTCATTTTTTTATCGCTTTACGGATGTATGTATATTTTCTATCTCAACATTTTCTTTTCCCATCAATATTTCGCAGTTATTTTAATTTTTTTTTTTTACTTCTGTTGTTTCAAATTGTTTCATTCTTTTTGTAATTGGATTATTTCTTAAATAAATGGTAAAATAATACTTAGCTGATTCCTGTCGACGAATGTTTATATGTTCCTAAAACGGGGCGGTTTCACTTTCAACAAAACGACAATGCACATGGAGGAAATCATTTGTAATCAAACACTTTCTTCATGACAAATATAATAAATGACCTCCGACTTTTCTGCCTAAATATTTTAAGGAGGCCATCAAAATCCCAAATATCTCACATTTTTTGCATAGCTTCGAAAATATGTGGGGGCATTTTCTTGATGATATGCTCATGGCATGCTTTGCTGGTACAAGCGAGAACGCCTCTTCTATTCGCATGTTCCACCTCTTTGGCATAGGAATAATGTTGACCCATTAGATCAGTTAGAATGCCGCCTTCAGCTTCAAGTACAGCCTCTGGACCGCAAGTATCCCATTTTTTGCAACCACTACTTGCAAAGACGTATGCATGCGCTTTTCCTTCGAGTAAGTGCAAAACTTTAAAACCGGCTCCACCTACTCTCACCACTTCGGTGGGTGAAAGCGCGTCTATGGACGCCTGAATTAACGCATTGGAATGAGATCGCGTTGTGGTTACGATAAACTTATCATTCGGAGGTGAAGAAGACTTAAATCCACCGGCACCTAAGCCTTTAAGTCCCCAAACTGTACGTCCCAATTCCCCGTTTGTTTGCTTATAAAATGGCTGATGTATTATGCCGCCCACGGCCGAATCTTTAATTGCTATTCCCACTAGCACTGTTACATGTTCAAGCAAGCCATGCGTATATTCTGAAGTCCCGTCAAGCGGATCGACCCATATAACCATATCTTCCTCTTTCACGTCACTCCATTCTTCTGGACAATTCAATTTAACCAGTTCTGCATCGATTTCCGTAACCAACCATTCGTCTTTTATGCTTTGGTCTACCAATTCTTCCTCTCCAATAATCTTAACTTTTGGAAATTGCTTACTTAGCGATGCAACTATACAACGTTGTGCAGAGCGATCTGCTTCTGTTTGCAAGTCATCTTTCCCCTATAAATGTTTTACTGCTTATTCGCGAAACGTAAGATTACTGCTTCTTGCTCAACTTACCTTATCTACAATATTCAATTCGCCTCCTTGCATAACTTCGCGAATGATTGCTCCTGCTCTTTTTACCGTGTTAAACGATAATGCCATCACACGCATTATTAGAGGTTCAACCATGGCCATGTCTAGCAAAATCTCTGAATGAGCCGCTTACCGCTGGGAAAGTGAAGGATAGAATGTAACAACCTTCAAATATTACAGAAAATTGTAATCGCGATAGATAAGATAGCTTTTGACGGATTTAGCTCCATGCAGATAACAACGTGAATTTACAAATTGCGAAATGCGAGATGTGAGTTAGCGATGACTTTGCAGTCAATTTTAAATTTTGCAAACTTAAGTGGCTTAACAGTCGGCAGTTGAACCCTGTAGTTAATTACTTAAGGTGTGTTTTAAAATTAAATAAAGTTATTAATTAATAATATTTTATATATGGTTTTTTTTTTTGTCTTGATATAGAAATCTTCGTTAAAATTTCTTATGCAACTATTAAGGAAAAATTTACGCAAATATGTATAGCAAAGACTGTTCCAGCCTACGTCGGCTCTGATTAAGTTTTTTTTTTGTTGCTTTGCAACTAACAACGTAAATGGAGATCTAGGTTTGGTTGATATTTTCCACATGCAATAGTAAATAGTGCTGCGAAACATGTTTCAATTCCATAATTGTTTGTCATTTACACCTCGATTTTGATTTTTTCCAACCTTTGGACCTGTTAATCTCATGCTTTCATCTTTCATTTTTAAATAATTACTTGTTGAATTGTATTGTGCCGTGGAAACTATCAACTAATTTATATAATAGTTTGTTTTATTTTTATTTTTTTATTTTTGAAAAATAGTTCGAATTAGGAATAATGGCCCGTGTTTTGGTTGGCGTTAAACGTGTTATTGACTATGCCGTAAAGGTATATTACTAAGATTTCAATTTATTCAGATCATTTTTGGCCTTTGCATAATCGCCTTGCGGAGGCCTAGTTGATTAATCAATTTGTTTATACCATATCCGTAGGTTCGAGTTAAGCCCGACAAGACTGGTGTTGTCACAGATGGTGTCAAGCATTCAATGAATCCTTTCGATGAAATCGCTATAGAGGAAGCAGTAAAAATGAAAGAGAAAAAACTGGCTTCTGAAGTGATTGCTGTTTCTGTTGGTCCCACGCAATCTCAGGAAATTATACGTACCGCCTTAGCCATGGGTGCTGATCGTGGCATTCATGTCGAAGTATCAGGCAAAGAGTATGATTTACTGCAACCTATTCATGTGTCTAAAATTTTATCTAAGCTGGCATTAGATGAGAAAGCTGATTTGGTTATTTTAGGGAAACAAGCCATCGATGACGATAGCAATCAAACTGCCCAAATGACTGCTGCTATGCTTGACTGGCCCCAAGGAACGTTTTGTAATAAAGTTGAAAAAAGCGATGCTGGTCTTACTATAGTCCGTGAAATCGACGGGGGTCTTGAGACGATCAAAACTAAGTTGCCCGCCGTGCTTAGCGCTGACTTACGTTTGAACACGCCACGTTATGCTACTTTACCAAACATTATGAAGGCTAAGAAAAAACCTTTAAAGAAAATTGCACCTAAAGACCTGGGTGTTGATACTGCTGCTCGAATTGAGATTATATCTGTCGTTGATCCACCAGTTCGTCAAGCCGGTGCAGTTGTGCCAGATGTTGACGCCTTGATTGCTAAACTTAAGGAAGGTGGTCATATCTGAGGTGGTAGACACAGTGTGATATGTGCATTTATTAGTAAAAAGCAAAAAAAAAAAAAAAAAAAAAAAAAACCGATCTGTTTCTCTCTTTAATTCTTAAGTTTAAAATGTTATGTTTATATCCATCTCATGAAGGTCCAACATGAATTTCCCATTGTATATTTTTATAAACAATTTGATTTATTAGTTTATTATTGAACGGACATGAGAAATTATGAAGAAATATTATTGCAGTAATAAATGAATCTGATGTTAATATATTTGCAACAAATTGCATAACCGTTTTTTTTCCAAGTCCCTAAGACTTTGTACTTTACACTCATCTTAAATTCTTATGGCGCAATCTCGAGATCGTTTACGTGCACGTACACATATACACATACAGCCAACCGGCCTGTCTGCTTACGAAGTCGTCTTCTAAAAATATGCATACATAGCGGATCCTTTACCGTTGAGCAGCACGCTGCCCTCCCTTCTTCCCTTATAAAACAAAATATAAAAATAATTTACATAACTCACATTTCGTATGTGTTTCAATGTCATGTAGGTTGTTAATCTTAATAATAGAAAATCTAATTAAATCTAAACGTCAATGTTTATGAATTTGAGCTCAGAGACGGCGATGAGAAAATGAATTTTGACTCCTTGTAAAACGGCAATATCTTTAAGCCATGGAACATTTGAAATTTTAAGATTCATTATTTGATTTGACTGACCATTTATGATGTTTTGGTTAAGTTTTCAATCCGCTATTAGCATAGAACTAAAATGAAGAGTAGAAATGCTAAAAAAGTTTTGCAAGAACTTGCACAGACATCGTTATCGAAAGAATGAAGTGACCATAATCAAAAATTAATTTCCATAGGCATCTTTTACGCAAGACGAAACTGAAACTCACTTCGGTGTTGGTTGTGGTAAAAAAAGTTTACACGCCATGTAAAAACCGATCGAATTAATGGGGGGAAAACCGAGTTGTCATAAACTTAAAATAGAAAAAATGTCTGCAATGTGTGTAAATTCCATGACCTTTCGGAATTTACATGTTTATATGTAAAGTCCGTGGCATTTATATATACATATGCACATGTCTGGTTCTTACTGTATGAAATTATTCTTTGCTTATAGTGTGAATTGGTAAAGAGCTGCATTTTCCATTTCTTATTTGTTTCTAACAATAATCCAGAAAAGGGAAAATTTAGTTATCAATCAGATTTACTTCAAATGGAAATTAAGTCATCTAAAATGTATATCAAGCGTATCGTTGCATTGAGATGCATCTAGGTTCAAATGTGTGTTCGATATTTAACACATATACCCATGAATTGTTGCACGACGGTTACCTACCTATTCGTTTTAAACGGTTGTACTTTTATATTAATCTATGTTCAAACTAACAAGTGTTTTAACTGCTTGATTAGTCCAAGCGTTCTTCAAGTTCTTTCTATGGTAACCGCTCTAAGGAAGTACATAAAATGTGATTGACCGCTGACGCTCGAAACGCCATTGATCTTCCCTTTTAATATTACAAATTATATATGATTATCCGCTAGGAGCGTCTTGCAAAGTTTCAAATTTCTCAGCGTATTTGAATTAATTATTTACTGCCTATCTCGTATGGATATATCAAAGTCAGATAGAAGTTCAGGGTTAAAACTGCGGCTATCGTCGTCTGACGTGGCTAATGTTAACAGGTGTGCAAACTTATGGAGATAATTCTCTTACTTGCTTCAAATATCTATTATCAGACATTTTTTGGCTTCTTCACTTTACTGATTCCACATTTTTAATAGTTACATGAGATAAATAAAATAAAATAAAAGAACATATATATATATATATATATATATAAAAAGAAAAAAAAAATATATATATATTTTAAATATATATGTAAAATATATATAATATATATAGTTTTTTCTTCTATATATATATATATATATATATATATATAGTATAGAAAACTATTACTATCACTTGCTGACCATATCGGATTTTTAGCTACTTTAAGGAATTTAAGGAAATCTATTGCTTTGTTGCATTTCATCAAAAATGTATATTTCATTAATTTGTTACAAAAAACAAAAAATACTGACAAATCGAGGTTTTCTTCAATACTAACGGCTATACATATAAGGAACTCTAGACAACCAGTACATATATAGAATGAAAAAATTCGATGCAAGCAAATTAAAGTAGAAGAACGAAATCATAGTTCCTTCACAAATGCAATTTATTTGATTTGATAAAAGTTGAAATCTATATTTTAATTACAATTATTTATTTATTTATTTATTTTTTTTATATAATCTTTTTTTTTTGCTTTGATAAGTACCCATACACATAATTATGTCTTTAATAAATTTGAGTACTTGAGTAAATATTATATAAAAAATTTGTATAATTGAATACATGTTGTAATATATTTTTTATTGCATATATTTTATATAATAAAATTGAAAAAATATGTGTAAAAGTTTTTTATATTTTATCTACTTATTAATACAATTTCTAAGAAGATTTTTATTTAAATGAAGGGAGCTTTGAGAGAGAATTTGCTTTTGATTGCTTGATATATATATATATATATATATATGGATTCCTTCATAATGAATTTGACTAAGTCGACTTAGAATATTTGCGGATGTCCGATTTTCTTAGATGTGAGATAAAATTAAATGAAATTTAATTTAATTAAAAAAAAAGCATCAAAATTCGTTGTATATAATCAGTTTGAGAATGGATGCAAAAGGATTGTCCTTATAAAGCGATAGCTTATCTACTTTACTACTGTGGTGGCTCGTTAAAAAGTTTTATTGGGATTGGGATTGTTGCTTTTTTGTTCAAGTGTAGTGTATGTCTTCTTAAATATTTACTTTATGCAAATGTTCTGCTTTCATTTTTCCACGAACTGACCATACAATGATGTGAAAGGCAAGGAGGAAGCATACGATGCCTGCGAAAAATCAGCTAAATACATTAAAACATCAAGGACAACGGACTGGCATGGAGGAAGAATTTGAAGTCTCAATTTGTACACTTCCTCTCATATAAGTAATATGCTCCGTACACGTAAGCATCCTATTTATTAGACAGTAACGTAGCGCGTAACGTACGAGCGATATTACGAGTAAGGAGATTTTCAATTATTCTGTGCTGGCTTGCAAGTTTACGTGGATGTCAGGTGTTTCTGCTTTTGTTCTCCTTAATGGTATGAAAATAGAGATTTAACAATAGAAAAATGTGAAAAGAGGCGTTCGCAAGCAGCATTTGAGGGGGCGGGAAAAGGCCTAAAATGAACTTGCGAAGGAGTTAAAACCTCAATTATTGATTATTGACAGCTTCGTATCAATAGAACTAAAGCAAAGACTTTATCCCCCCAAGCTAAATGTGACGAAGAACAGGAAGAATTGAAATTCTCACCTCTTACCTCCTAATTGTGACAGAATTTATAGCAACAAACGATTGCCAAAGGTTCCGACCGTAATGAAATTCGCAAATGACACAAAGCTTTAATCAAATCCTCGTCATTTGCACTGGCATATTTTCCCAATCATTATCAGGGTAAGATTGTGTTAGGTTTAGTGATACTAGACGGTGTCAGCGGGCTAAGGACGCGCTTCCGGTTTGCCGAGTTTTGAGAAGAAAAGAATGCAAGGCAGCTTTATTTTTATTTATTTTAGGACATTCGCAAAGAGAAAATGCAATTGGATCAAGAGTTTCGCTTGGATGTAAATGGCAGCGTAGTAGTGGCAGTTGGCGGTTAATTTTTTCCTGCATTGATGTGTTAGTTAACACTGGACAAAAACTGAATTGTTATTGAGCGTTCGACTACTATCGACTATGAAAATAAAGAAAATGCATTACTTCCAAAAATATAAATTTTACTATTGTACAAAATGTATCACTGTACTGTTGCAATTGTTAACTATTATTAAATTGCTATTATTTTGTTATATTGCTGTTGCTCGTCTATCAAATTGTATAAAAATATTTTCTCGTTTTCCAAAATTGTACACAAAATTACGCACCAAGGTTAATTTTTGTACGTTATCTTTGTCAGATAGGTTTTTATATCTCTATATGTGTGTGTACATAGATGTAAAATTAGTTTTTTTTTTTTTTTCTTTACTATGTTTGAATGATTCATCCTTTTTGTAACGTTTGCTCTCTTACTTACTTACCTTTTATGAAAAGTTGCGACAAATAACACTAAACCCTTACAACGGATGATAATGGATTTTTGTCCGAAAAACGCAAGATTCTGGTCAACATGGTAGTGATGCAAGGTATTTGTTTTTGTTGATGCATCTCTGGTGTGTCAGGAGTGCAAGACTCGTAATCAACAGCTACGCGTTGGCTTACAAAAGTTAAGAGTGTTAAAATATCTAAACGTTTGCCATTAGCGGCCAATTCGGAGCATAATGATTGCATGAACCATGAACCTCGAGTAGTATTTCGCCAAGAATAAAAACCCGGTATGGTCGAATAGGCAATTAAAAAGTCGGCATGTACTGGTATTTTATAGCTCATTGATGATTCGCCGTCTGTTTCGGTTTGCATGCGTTTCATTGTGATACCAGGATCTAGACGATCGCCTTGACAAGCTTGTATGAAAAAGAGTTTCGGTTTCCCTGCTAAGCTAGGACAATTTTGGGCTGTGAAGTAAGTCCAAATGTTATCTAATTTGTATTGAGTGTCTTTTGCGTAAATATATCCCAACTCGCCATGTGATAAAATCGCTACAAGAATGCAATCGTCATCGGTATGATCTTGATTGGCCGCCCATTCGATGTGACGCATCAAATCTTTAAGTCGGCAATCTTTGTATGTAAGCACCTCAAAATCAAGCTGCTTAAGGACCCGGGCCAAGTTATCGCAATCGACATTTGTACCCGAACGTGACTTTAATGTTGGCACCTCAAAATGTTCATGATTAAAAATCAACGCTAAGCCACGATTTTTATGACGCATGTTATACTCTATAGCATGGCGATCGGTGGGCATTCGTGCCGAATAATTCGGTAAAGCACCATAACTTCTAGTAGCTAATTGAGCTATTGCACCTTGTGACGAGCCTGAGCTGTTTATATTGTTGCCGCTATAATAACCACCGCCGCCGCCACCACCACCACCACCAGCCGCTCCCAATGAACCAAACGCGTCGGTAAAGTCATCCGTATTCGTATTAGTGGCACGCTCGATTAAGATACCAGTTTGATCCTCTGAGATTGACATCCTATGCCTTTTAATGTATTTCAAATATTCTTAACTGTCCAATACTGAAGCCTTGTTCGCGTTTACTACAATTTTTTTTTGTTTTTTCGGACGCTGAGGTCGGAGGGTCTAAGTTAATAAGACTTGTGCTTTATACGTACAAAACGTTTAATATAATTGTTATTGTTTTCCCGATGTTTTTTAAGCTTCCATTCACGCGTCTCTTTGTTGTTGACTTTTTTGCCTTACAATGGTTTGTGTTATTAAATACGCTTTGCCTGTTTCCTTTTTATATGACAGGGTTGTCGCTTCTTGTTGTTTAAATCTGAAGTTTGATTGGCGAGGAAAAAACATTATTGCCACAGCTCCTCTTCACTGTTGAGCATTTGATAGATAGGCATTTGACGACGTATTTCGGTTTTTGAATCAGTGTTGCGCATGATCCGGAGGTATATCAAAATATATGTAATGGGTTTATTTATATATATATATAATTTTTTTAATAGGAGTACTGTGTCTCACGAAATACAAGGGAAATATTATTATCTTTCGAAATTATTTATGTATATAATGTATATAAAAAATTCAGATAAATAAGGAGATCTTAGACCTTCCCCATGTCTTTTCGAATTTTAATATGAATTCGTGATGAAAAGGAAAACCCAATAATAATTGTAGAGATATATGCTTATGCAGAAATAAAGAAATTACTAACCAATATTTAAGTTTTCGTAACAATTTTATTTATAAAAAATACAAGTACAAGAAAAAATGTGAAAATTCAATAATAACAATATTTAACGCAAATCCGTTTACGATCACTCACTCATAATCGAATGATAGTCCGCTTCCTCTCGTATTTTGGTCAATCCATTTATCGAACCTTTGCGACATTTCAGTTGTTATATAATTTTTCCAATCGCCTATTTCGCCCTTACGTATAAACTGGATATCCGCATAAGCATTATTAGTCATTTGAACGCCGTTACCATTGATATCAGTTTGACTTAGTAGCGGTTCCAAATTCACTGCTGGATTCTTTTGCATTTTATCAAATTTAAGATGATCACAAATACGTCTTAAGTCCGTTTCGGAAATTTGATAATCTATTTGCAAGAATTTTGCGCATTTTCGTACAATGCTCGGTAGATCACGCTTCATATCCTCGTATTTCAAAAAAAGTACATTTGGTTCGGTGCTGCGCTTCCAAAATGGCAATACATGTTTCCAATATGATCCAATTGGTGCGCTTTCATTAAGAAACAGTTCGAGGAAATCTTCAAATGTCCCCTGAAGGCCATGCATTAGTTTACAATAATAGTAGAAGGAGACACACAAGTCTTTCGGGTTTCTTGCCGTGTAAACAATCTACAAAAATGCAGTACATATATATGTAATATACAACTGCTAGATATTGTCAAAATACCTTGGCCTTTGAATTTTCCAAGTCTACGGGTAGTAAATGCCAAGGCAAATGTGAACGTGCAAATCGAGGTCGCCGCATCTTGCGTACAACATCAACGGTATCACCCAAAGAATTTCTATTATTTAATTACATATTGCATATACATATATATATATATACATATATATATATACGTGGATATGGATATGGATATAAAAGGTGTATTTCTAAGAAAAGGTTACTTACGACACCCACTCGTAATGATCCTCACTGTACAATGCTGACAATTCGATTAGAGGAGCACGCAACTGTTGCATTTGCTTCGCTTGCTCATAGTTTAAATGATTGCCTAATAGCCAAACCATTTCTTGGGCCCATGTCGAACCGGTACGTGGATACGACACAAGCCAAACATCATCTGTATACGTTTTCAGATTTCTAATCGATTCCCCAATATTCATAAATTGTCGTGGCAGTATTACATTTCCTGGCGAGACGTTTATAAAACAATTCTTTTTAGGGAACATCGCGTCAATCCGTTCAGCAATGGCTTTATCCAATTCTTGATATTTCAATTCCATTTTCCTTGCAAATCCTTACACGGTGAAGGTGGACACAAAAGTGTAAAGTTTAAATAAAGGAAAATATCAAAATTCGCAAATTAAAAAAAAAAAAAAAAAAAAGCAACCGTTTGCTTCAACGTATCATGGAAAACTACATTTTCTGGAAAAATTGCAAGAGCTGTTTAAGTTTTATTGAGTACACATTTAGTGAAAGTAAAAGTATTTCTTGTTTGGCTGAAGAACTAAGTTCATTGGCTATACATTAAATCTGCAATCAGTGACTATCGTTACTGATACTGATGCTATGAATGAAACTCTCTTGACATTAAATTATATATATATATATATATATGTATACAATTGTTAAATCGTATATATATGCATACTCATACTTGTGCTATACATATGCATATAGAAATTTGAAGAAAAGCGAATTTTTGACAAGATTTTATTGAGAATAGATTATTATATATATATATTAGAATTAATATGAATTCGGAAAGGAATTTCGGAAAGAGTGCTCGCGTTCCCTCTATCTCTCTCTCTCTCTCTCTCTGTTACAAATAATTGACATTTGAAAGCCTATTGTCAATCAGTGTGATAAAATAGGGAAAATTTTAGGGGCCTTTTAATTGTACCTTCGTCGATCGCTTTATTCTGTAAGCCCTGAATTAAAAAAAAAGGCAAAGTATTCAACAAAGTTTTCAACAACGATTTCCGTTGTACTTGTTGTTGCTGGGTTTGCTTGCAAATCGAAAAAGACTATTAACGAAGCTTGAAGATATGGTATATAGTCAGACGTAGCAAGATTTGATCTCAATTTTGAAGATTTCGTAATCGCCAATAGCGAAAAGTTGGCGTATTTTTTGAGTAACCATTCAGCAAAGACTTTTGGGGAAACGGAGACAAATCGGTTGAGACTTGTAAGTATGGTTTCTAACCCACTTCACCGAACACCGTAAGGGGAACGATTGAAAAAGAAAATATTCCCAGTAATAATTTCTTAACGATTGTCTAAAATAGTCGGGGATACAAGACCATTCGCGATAAGATTGCGAGATGCTCTTGAATCTCTTCTTCTTTGTTGAATTTGTAAATCGGACTCCTGATACGTAATAGGCAGCTGCCACAATGGCACAACGTAGCAAAAATATCGTTGTTGTCTGACTTGACTGAATTGAAGCAGGGCTTGCAAACGCTTTCGCAGATGCCTGCAAACCGGCTTGACTATAGTTTTCCAACCTTTGCTTGTGCTGCTCACATAACTGTCAAAACTTCTCTTGCATGTCTTAAGACCTCATTCTCGACTGACGAATAACAAAAGTAAATTCGACTTGTTCCAAATAATGCTTTCAGCCCCATTATTATGCAACCTTAAAAGATATGCTGCTGGATTGCGGAGGGTTTTCGATCTTCCTTTGCTAATTGTAGTCTTCTTAGAGCGTCTCTTTATCTATTTTTTCTAGGCTACGAAGAGTACACAAAATTTCCACTCTCTTTATAACAGACTATGTCTGCAAGTATCGGTCGGAACATCCCCTGCTTTGCGATTTTGGGGCAATATAAAATATTTATTGCCATAGAAAATCTTGAAACTTTTATTAAAGCTAAAATTGGTCTTTATATACGCAAAACAAGCTCATATCAGTTCCAGTTTCAGAATGCCGGCGTGCGTTCGAAACTCAGTGTTTCTAATTGTAACTTTTCTGAACAATTATTGATTAAAATTGAAGATTTCAATTTGATTTCGAATGTTTCGGTTTTAGGGTTTTGAAAATGTTAAGAAAAGATCAGCTAAAGGTGAACCGCTTTAACGGAAATGCAATGCACCGAGGAGGGCACAAAATTGTTAAATGATCCAATGAGGCTTGTAACGCTTCTAAAATTGCGCTAATTAAGACAACGACAAGGCAAAATAAATATCATAGCACTGTGGCGGTAAGTAATTCAAGCTTCATCTTAAGCCTAGTACAGTTCTTTTGCTTGTTTACATTCTTAGCGAAGAAAGAAAAGAAAGTAGGTAGGTTGCAATCGTGAGCAATTAAACCATTTCGTGTACCAATACTACTTTCATAACTAGTAATGCATGTATGTTCAAGAGCAGCTTCACACATAAATAACTGGCTAGAGTTCCATACTTTAGGTGATTGTTGTCAGTAAATTTTATTGCTTCAAATGGCATGAGAAGCGTAAAACAATTGAGAGAAATATTTACTCTCGTTATAGTTTGAATTTTCCACTCACTACACTACACTACATACTCTTCACGTTTGAGGATCGTTCTTAAAATTTCAACAAATTGATTGATTGTCTTTGCACTCAATTTGTAACAAGTGTGTTTTTCTTTTCTTTTCTGTAGAGAACTTTGCCGTATACTATACCGGTCTTCTCGAAATTTGCCCAAGAGTTATAGAAAAAAACAGGCTAAGTTCAATTGAGATACAACATAAATGCATATACGTATACATATATATATATATACGTACCTACATATATTTAAGTATAATTTCTCTTTGAAAAGTTACAAATAAATGGAGCATTTTGTACGGACGAGCAATCAGGTTTTGAGTGTGAAAAAATATGTCTAAGGAAGAATAGAATTATTATTATTTTCAATTTAACAATGAAACGATCGGTTTTGCTTGTAGGCTTACAAAGAATTTAACAATTTGTAAACTCAACAGAAGAAAGAAAGTTTTCTCGAAAGTCGGACGTACTAAGCGGTTGTTGTATAAGATCTTACAGCTTATTTCAAAGTAAAAGAAACTTATATCGCACGCGTACGTTCACGTAAAGCCAAGCTAAGCCTAAGACTAGAAACAAAAGAAGAAACAAAATTAATTCAACGAATAATTGTGAAAGTTTCTTGAAAAAAAAATAAAAAAAAATAAAAATTCAAAAATTCAAAAATTAAATTATTAATAAAAATACTAAATAATGTGGCCAGCAAGAGTAAATGTTGTGCTTGTCGTGGTGTGTATAAATCTTTCTTTAGGTTATTCAAGCCAACAAGGTAAGCGATCGTCTGAAGACGAATCAAATCCTTTACTGGATATGGCTTCGATGTTTATTCAGGAGGCCTTCAGCGGTCAAAACAATAATGCCGCACGTAGCGATAGTAATGGGGCTGGTCTAGCCGGCGTTGCTTCCTTGCTTGGCTCCCTTATGCATGCGAATGCGGGAAATGCGGGAGGGCAAAACACCGATGCCGGTTCGGGAGCTATGCAAATTCTCTCGGGTATAGGCACTCTTCTAGCCAACGCCGGTACCAGCAACGGTCGTTCAAGTACCACTGGCGGTTTTGATTCATCACTAATTGGCAACGTTTTAGAGATGTTCACACAGCCGAATGCCAATGAAGGAGACAACGATAGCCAGGCGTCGGCAAAGAGCAAACGGAATACGGATGGATCGTTTGATTTCAATTCCATTATTCAAATTGCCTCTGCTTTTCTCAATCAGGACGGTAACAGAAGCCATCAAAACCGTGAGCGGCAAAAGCGTTCTATCGAATCAAATAACGAAAGCAATATACAAAACGGAAATGGTTTAATGGAACTGTTGCCGTTAATTATGCAAGCGATTAATTCATTTAATGGTGCAGAAGGTCAACACGTCCATGAAAAGCATAGAGGTCACGCCTGGGTGTTACCACCATTTCTAGAACACATTCATGTGTTATGGGACCATTTTTCCAATTCAGAATTGGGTGAAGCATTATATGAGCGATCCGGCGTTAATCAAATTTTAAAAGTGCGTTATATTTAGCGAAAGAAAATGTTTTTTTTAATAATTTGATAATAAGTAATCCATGGAGATGTGCTTTCTTTGCTCATTCATATTTGTTTAACTTCTTCAGGGATTTAAAGACCGGAATGGAAAATTGGAATTTAATAAATTATTCGAATCGTTGAACAACCAATCGTTTCGCAGACGCTGGATAAAATCAGCTACACTTTATTTAGCTGACTGGGCCAGTTATCTGGCCAATCCCGACGTTTACTCAAGGTAAGTGAAAGAAAATGTAAAATGTCATTCAGCAGCTCTCATAGTCTAATTATCGATCGACACAAATTTTACAACAAGTTTAAGCCTTAAGTACGTCAATGACTTTGCTAACTTCACTTGTTGACTTGACTTATCTGCAGATACTCCGCTCATGCACCTACATCATTCCAATGCACAACGAACCAAGGCGAAGAACAAGAACGAAGAAACAAGCTTCGACTAAGGATATCTATCTGTCTATCTGTATTCAATGTGCGACTTTCTAACCATATGATAACTTTATTACTCACTCCAATGAATTTGGCTTTTTCTCCACATTTCGTTGCTTAACGTTATAACGAGTAAACATATAAGTAGTTGGATAGGAGACCGGTTATTTATTTACGCGAGCGGTTTGACTATCTTTTTCTTACAGTCTTCGCTTAACAGTATTGCTTCGTTACAGTAGGAAGTTTCGTGACACACTTTTTGCTTTCATTACGGACGCTTATGTATTCTTTCCAAGTATAGTCTATTTAATCAATATACTGTAGAAGTTATTTGATTAGTGAACGTACACATACACACTTACTTTACATAAATAAATAAAGCGCGTTAATGTGGCGTTAAAATGGTAAAATACCGTTATACACTTAAATCCGTTATCCGTTGAGGACGCTAATGTCAAGATCAAGTATACGTATATATATATATATATATTATTCGTCTTGAAGTTGAAATTTGAGAATTTTTCGAAAATTCGAAAGTTGAAGTATTCTCTTCTCCGCTGATTACTTGACAAAGCAGATATTCAGAAGGAACATATATGCCGGGACCCTATTGCAATTAAGTGAGTTTCAAGAAAATCGCACTTTTTTATATTCTCTCTCAATTAATGAACTAAGACTATTTTATTAATACCATCATTTTACTCGATGCCTGAATCGACAGATTTTTCTCGTTCTATCTTTTATGGGTGTTGTCAGAGATATTCTGAATGTGTCGTACGAATTTATTAGCACAAGTGTTTAAAATTCGTCTTTCTTTTTGCGTTATCTAAACAAGTGCACGTGATATGAGCAAACGTGTTTACATAACATTCCACATCAGTCAGCATTTTAAAGTCATTTCCCGACCTTGCTTGAGTTTTCGTTAACACAACATTCATAAAAAATGCCTAAATTCCAGGTATTTCCAAACTGCTCAGCTAATGTTTAATGGTTTTCTGAAAGCTCAGGGATATCCCAAGAGTACCCATTTCGATCCTACACGTCCCAGCGAGACTATATCAAATCTGATCGATTATATGGCTAAACATCATTTGAATGTTAAGATCGATTCGCGCCAGTACGTTAAACCTGCGGTCGGTTACTCCAAAGAACTACTAAAGCTTGGTCAAGCAAGAGGTCTTCTTCAATTTAACGCCACTGATTTAAGCAATAAATTAACGGACACTTTAAATTTAGAGGTAAGTTCAATTGCTGAGTAATGATGCATTAAATATTCCCATGTGTTATGTATTTTTTTTTTTTTCAACAGGTTATTGAACCGGTTCTGAAAGTTCATCGTGCGTACCGATATATTGCAAAACAACCGCACTGCGACCGTTACGTTTTATGTCAGTTAAATACTCCAGAACAGTTTACAAGGGATAAAAAATCGAATGCTCTTATCTCGGGTGTTAGCTCAAAAATTCTTAAAGTTGGTAGCATAGGTGCTGCCTTTTTTATTAGCACCGAAACTGAAACACCATTTTGGACCCTGCTAAATGTTATTAATGCAGCAGCCGATTGTGACGTAAGTATCTTATCTTATAAAATTAAATACGAAGAGTTTGAATTTTATCGGCTCGGATTAACCAACCGACATGATCTAACCCTTGAACTTTTTATCAACTGATTTGAAGTTTTTCCTCAATCCCTCCTTTCCATTAATCCATAGATTAAGCTAGAAATGACAATTGTTTCCCTTAATTTGAATTTATTCGTTCTAACTTTTTATTCTAGATTAAGTACCCTGTCGATTGTAATGGTTTTCACGAAGGTGAAGCTAAAGTGACGACAGAATATGCACATAACGAATTGTAAAATTGGAAAATAAATCATCTCTCTTTCGGCGTAAAATCTTATTATAACTAAACTATACATATATATATATATATATATATATACATAGACATAGTGTAGTAATATACTTTATCAAATTTAATTTATTAATAAGAAATCTTATAATTGTGTGCTATTGTCTTTATATATTGAAATTTTTGGTTAATTACGCAAGATATACAAAAAAGACGATCATCTTTTTTTCGATCACTTTTCAATGTTACTTTTTAGTCGATTTACTTAATTAAATTAAATAAATTTAATATTAATAACTTTAGATAAATACATTAGCGTTAATTTTAAAGAAATGAATTATTTTTTCATATTCTTGCATATCCAGTCCATGCCTTCCTAAAATAGCAAATAAATTCGAGTTATTGATTCTTGAACAAAGAACAGCGTTCCTACTTTAATGCCTGTGCCCTCAAGTGCCGAACAAGATTTTATTTGCCAGGTGCGATCTTCTAAACGTACTAAGCCAATTGCCTCGGCCACTTCGGATGATGACATAGCATTTGGTAAATCCTGTTTATTGGCAAATATTAAAAGAGGAACCTGTTTTAAACGATTATCCATCAGCATTTCAAAGAGTTCATTGCCAGATTCCGCCAAACGTTCACGATCTGTGCAGTCAATTACATAAATCTTTATAAGAAAACAAAAAAAAAAAAAAAAATTAAACGTATATATAAGAGAAAACGTTAATCTAATTAGATGCTCTCAACCAAAACGTCTGTGTTTGCAAAGTAGTTTTTCCAGTATGGTCGTATCTTCCATTGGCCACCAATATCCCAAACATTTAATTTGAAACCGTCAGCGGCTACTGATTTGATATTAAAACCGGCTGTTGGCGTTACCTAGAAGAGAGTATAAGAGAAATGTATTTAAATCATTCGTGATATCCCTGGCTTGGGGACTGTGTCACGAACCGTTGTAATTTCTTCGTTCGCCAATTGCTTTAGAATGGTTGTTTTCCCAGCATTATCGAGACCAAGTAATAAAATTCGAGCTTCGGTATCAGGATTCGGTCGAAGTTTGCGTAATAAAGCAAGAAGCCCCTAAATTGAAAGAAAAGAAAAACAAAATTGAATTCTACTTAATGTAAATAAAATTTTCGAATTAAATCTTTAACACAACGAATTGAATTTTCTTAAATAAACACTAGTAGCCCGTGCTCATCCCCTGTTTTGACTGGCAACTAAAGGAAAAGTAGCTTAAGGTGTCGTCAATCGCAGCGCAGTGATCAGACTAATCGATATATTATCTAAGGCGTGGCTATGAATTGGGATTGGATGGAATCGGGTCTAAAGATTTTGTAAGTATGGACAATTGAAACGACCTCTAGAGAAAGTAAATAACAGTGCCCGAAGTGGACATCCAACTTTCTCACACAAATCAAGAGCACATGTGCTTTCCATCCTGTAACAGTAAGTATTTTAAAATATCTTGAAATGTGACGCCAATATGGCAAAATTGTATAAATATTTTGTCATTATATTGTGTTTTACATAAATTTTTTTTTACAAATATATATAAAAAAAAAGGTGTTAATTTAAATAGACGATACATTATGCCATAAAAAATTATAATATATAGCAGCATCACACACTCTCACGCACACATTACACATTTCCTAAAATATACAACGCTGTTACGTTAAATGCATTTAATTAGTTTTGCTTTATTATGAAACTACGTTGCTATGACAATTATGACAAAAAAGAAAATATTACACAAAGATCCATTTCGTCAAATATAATTGTAATTACTACAAAATCTCTTTCACTAATCGCATACCATAATTAATTTATTTAAAAAGACTTTAATCTACTCGCTACGTGTATGATCGTCAAGTGCGGGTGCTTTTCAAAACAACGGGTTATTGAAGCTCAATAGTGTCGCTAATTTAACTCTCGATAACTACAACAACATTCCACTTGCAAAGTTCGATATATACTGAGAGCGCTTTAAATGCGAATTATAAAGAAGAGAAGTTAGAAGCGAGAAGTACACACATATAGCTTATATCGTATACGCATAAAACATATAAAAATGATAGTGAGCGGCTTTAATGGCTTTCGACAGTTCGGAGGAAGGCGGAAGTTACAAAAGTTTGAAGGTAATTGCTTTTTGCATAGACTTGTAATAGTTGCATAATGCGAGGTTCCGCCTCCTAATAGATACGGAAAGCATACCTGCTGACGATGCTTCAGCAGATATTTTATTTTCATGTTCGTGGAATTGCACGACATTCGCTTATGGCAATAATTTATATCTAAAAGGCTTTTTTGCTGGAAAAACGAATAATTTTAGAAAATTGACAACTAAAGAAAGTATCACATCTTTGGCTATAAATGATCGTTTCTGTTTAGTATTGCTGAGCAATGGGAAGCTTTATAAGTTGAGACTTTCTACAAATAGCGAGTTAGAGGAACTTACTTTTACACCTGATAATCACATTGTGCCACAAAAGCGTGGTATTTTTGGAGAGTGCAGGAATGCAAGTTCACCTCCATTGGAAATAGAATTTGTAGCTTGTGGTAATAATATTACCGTAGCCATTAGCAATAAAAACGTAGTGTTTAGCGGTACTACTCAAGTTTACGAATTTCCTCGACATATGCATACCAAGGAATTGCAATGTGGCTTTGAACATGCAGTTCTTCTCAACACGAACGGTGACATCTATACGTGGGGCAATGGTTTGTAAGTGGTCACGTTAATATATTGACAAGTTACTAAATTTATTTATTTTAGAAGAGGCCAATTGGGACAGGCAATCCTGGGTAGACATGAAACTCCTTCTATAGTAGAAGCCTTAGCAGGTATTAAAGTGACTGCCATTGCTGCAGGAGGTTGGCATTCAGCTGCAATTTCAGCGTTTGGTGACCTTTATACTTGGGGCTTTAATTCAAATGGCCAGTTAGGTCTACGTGTTTTCAAGAACTCGTCATCCCCTATAAAAGAACCAGCCGTGTACCCATTGCCGCAAATCATAGATCTACCAACATGTAATTGCTCAAAATTGAATTCGAGCCTTCCGTCCTGTCCACCTATTAAGGTTGTAGCTGGAGGACGTCACATTATAATCGTAAAAACCTGTGGCGCCTTATATGGCTGCGGTTGGAATGCCCACAACCAATTAGGCTTAACATCTGCTCGCGACTTTGTCGATAATTTCCAGTACGTCGACTCTATATCAAATGATCTGAAGAAATTTAAAGTCTATTGTGGCAGTTGGTGCACGATAATAAAAAAATAATTAATAAGAATTATAAACGCATTTGCTAATGTTTATATGATCAGAAATACCTTTTAATTTTAAGTTTAATTTTATTTAACAAACACTTTTTATCTATTGCAAGAGGAATTACTCATGAGTACTTATGTGTAATACGTAGCCAACGTTGTATGTGTATAATTTAAAAACAATCTTAGCCAGATAAAATTGAAGCCAATTGAAACCGCATTATGCCAATTATGATCTCAGACATGTCTTGCATGTCAAGCATGTAAATGTACCCGGAATTAGAACAATAAACACACAAAAGACTAAGTAGAATGATAAATATACAAAAAGATATACATGTGTGTAATAAACTTTTACTTTACTGTTTTAAAGCACCTAAGCTGGGTACATTATCCGAAGCTGAACTGCAATCATTTAAACTGAGATCAAAACTATTTTCACCACTTGTGCCAGTGACATTAGTTAAACTGGAATCGTTATTAGAACTGGCCTGATCAAAAATGCTAAGATTTGGTAGGGAATTGTCATCATCCTCTTCGCCATCACCCTCTATATCGTTGGTATCACGGTCACTATTTTTATTCATATTGAAATCATCGTCCAAGACAAGCAATGGTACACTACCTTCATTATTGTTTGCTTTCATCTCGAGGAAGTTGGAATTGTTTCCTGTTGAACGATCTCTTTCAAGTACTTTATCATTGCACGCTCCGTTCAGGTTAAGTCTACTTAAGCTTGGTAGCTCTTCTTCATTATAATTGTCCGTATGATCGTGATTACTCCGCTTTTCAGTTTGCAGTTTATTGGGTTTTGTTAAAATGCTTAATAACGGTAAATTAGGATCAACAAATGAATTATTTGTCAATGGAGCTGGTGAGCTGGCGTCCGCTTTGCGTTCCGTATTCCTCAGAGTAGACAATAAAGGTACATTTCTTTCACTTTCAATTACACCTTCGCCATGTAATGGTTCGGCGTTTTGTTGTATAGGGTATCCGGTCGGGCTACCATTACTAACATTTTTATATTTTTCAAAAATGCTCAATAAAGGTAAATTAGAATTGACTGCAAACTGGGCTTTTGTGATGGCATTTGCTTTATCCTCTTTATCGGTAACCGTTGTTTGGCTTTTCATGTTCTTTTCACTTTTCTGTACAACGTGATCATCATCGTTAATACTTGATAAGTTTCCGTCTATTGTTAGCTTCCTATCAATAACTTCTTCAGTTTTTGGCTTGAAAGGCTTTTCAAAAATGCTCAATAGTGGCAAATTAGAATCCAAGGTATTTTCATTTTGCCTATTAACGCAATCCTCCTCATTTTTCTGGAACGCATTGGTTTGCCTTCGTTCTAAAGCATCGACATTTCGCATGTCTTTGTCGTCATTTCTTTTGCCTCTAGGTTTCACTAAAATACTTAAGAGCGGTAAATTAAGAGCTGATGTGCTTGGCGACATCAGTTTGGACACAGTCTGACCATTTCTTGGCGATATATTTTGTTCATTTGGTGCGGCGGTGTTAATATTTTCATTTTCCTCATTGTTGACAATTCCAAGCGTTTGTATTGAATTTTGTTGCTGAATTTGAAGCCTTGACGATTTTAATAACCTTGGAGGTGGCTTAGGAGGGACACTATCAGTTGTTGTTAGATTTTTGTCATTGAAATACTTGGTACAGTAATCTTTATTGTTATCCATTAAACTTTGATCATTTTTGTTCAACATCTCAGTTGTAGGGTAAAATTCGCTATCGAAGACCATGTCCTCTATATCCTTGAAAATTTCACTAGGTAACGACGTGTCCGCAATTTTCACTGCAGCTCCTGTTGTTGGTCGCGGTAATGGTTCTGCAAATCAAATTAACATCTTAACGGATTAAATAATACCGGTAAAGTGAATATGTGTAGAATCTTCAAAAAACTTCAGATTAAATTTTTTGTTTTTGAAATTTAGAATTGGACAGGACTTGAAAATTTTACTATGTGATGCAAGAGGCAGACAGACGATCAGTTGCGTCTATGGTAATTATCAGAGTAAGTAGATACGAATATAGAATTGCATCTGAAGTTTCGTTCAATTTTATTATTAATGCGTTACCTTTTAACAAATCCTTAGCTAGAAAATTAGCAGCTCTGATAAGTTTGGCTTTCAGTAGGAGATTCAGCAAAACTCCCAAAGTTGGACGTTCGTGTTTACGTCCCGACGTACCCCATTCGTCGAAAAGAATTTCGGAAAATAGCCTCGAGTCTCCGTGATATTGGACGGCATTCTGGATAAGCCGTATGTGGTCATTATTGTATTTGCGCTCACTGATAGGAAGAAATTCTTCCGCGTCAATCGACTCATCTGCATTAAAGCTTTCGTTGTCAATTTTTTTTGGTATAACTTGTATCAGATCAAGCCACCCCTCGTTGTCATCCAGAATTAAAGACAATTCATAAGTGTCCTTCTGATGCAAATGCCTTAATTCCGTCTCACGCGAATAACACGACATTTTCTATATTTGTTTTGCTTTATGTGAGCTTATTGGTTAAAGTATGTGGTTCTCTTGGTTTACTCTTCCTATGCAAATAGTTCAGGGTTACTAAATGCTGACTTGCTTTAATATTGGAAGTCATAAGAATCGTTACTCTGTAGGGTTATAGAATTCGCTATAATTTGACAAAAAAATTAAACACATTGAATGTATTTTTATGAAATTTCCTTTTATAAGATACAGTCCGTATCACTTTTTACACTTACACTTACAATTTATTTTGGCCGTATTCTCAACTTCTACGTTCTTGCCGGACTAGCTCTCCCTTCTACAAACATTCTATTTATATACATTTTTACAAGCACTATACCTAAATTTATGGTTTTATTTCTAATCCCAGCCGGCTTTTCGCCTAATCGTTTTCATCGGCCTCCACCTGCGTGACGCGCCTGCGAATGCGCACCTGTCTGCTTTTCCGCTAATCGTTTTCATCGGCCTGCAGCTGCAGAAGCTGCCTGCGAATGCTCATTTGGTTTTTCCTTCTTTAGGGAATTTATTATTAGGAAAAATTACTTAGCTGAAATTAACTGGATTTGGGATTTTCGTCACAGTATTATATATTTGCCAGTAAAGGATGTTTTATGCATTATTGGATGTAATACTGGAGGTCGTATCCTTTAGGTGCAAATGTCAGTATACACGAATACGAATGAAATGGATGAAATGAAAATATGAAAGCTCAATATTTTTTATATATACACTAATTTTTGCATTTCCTTTATTCCTATTAAAATTAGTTAAATCTCATGCTAGTCTATCCATCACCTGTTACCCCTACAAAAAAACAAAGCTTTCCTCATTTTTTTGTTTCGTTCTCCTATGGTTAAGTTGCTCTTACGTTTTCGCTAATCAAATAAATTATTGAAAAACTTAAATAGTAAACTTTTTTGTTGTTGTTGGTAATAATAAAAAAAAGAATTAATGAGAGAATATGTGCTGTAGTTGCTATATAATTATTAAAATTTCTTTTAATACTCGAGCTTAGGTGTGGTTTGAAAAAAAAATCTATATGTTCGCACTCAATTAATTTTTTATTTTTGTTTTTTGTTTATTATATAAACAAATGTTTTTTATTTAATACTTAAAGACTTCCTTTTTATCGGTTATATATCAATGCGAAACTTTGCTAATTAACTCAGCCTGAAACGTCTTCTATTCGTTCAATAAAAGTTATCTTTGCTATGAATCAAGCTGTCTAAGCTGAGCATGAACCGTTGAATATGACAATGGCTTAGCTCTGACAAACAAATTTCCTTGGAAATTTGTCTTTACCTGCTATTGAAGTCATATGCGTCATTGCCTGCTTCAAATGTACGGCATTTTCGTAACCTTTCTCTACATCGTAGCGAACATAATTAAATGTTTTTTAAATTTATATAAATTATTTTTCAATAATTTCCCATTTCTGTGTTCCTATGAAAAATGTTGTTTGATTCTGTGTCTTAGCACATCTTACTAGCGCGGATATTCTATGAAAAGTAATTTTTTATATTCTCAATCAACAGTTCTTTTAAGAACCATAATAAAACTTACTCATCGCTTACTCATTCTTTATTCTCTTTGCAGGAGTAATTTGCTAAACGCTTAAAAGTGCCTCTATTTGCGGTAAAATACTTAGCTATGGTCTTTTGGCCATTACCAATTTTGGCAGCTGCTTTTATTGCTGTTAGAGCTCAGGGGACCGATCCTCAAACATATCAACCTCGTTATAATCCCCAGTACACGAACATACAACAACAATCGCAACAAAATCAACCTGCTACCACACAATATGATAATCCACTATTAACCACCTTACAGGAATCGGCTCAACAGCAACAAGGAGGTAGTAGTCTTGGTGGTCCGCCCAACCAAGGAAACTACAATTACAACTACGATAGCAACGTGTTAGGTGGTGGTAATCAAAATTATGACCCCTTTAATCGTAATCCTGGTTCGGGTAGCATAACCTCTATAGGCTTGGGTTATGTGGACAATTATATCAACGAAGATAACTTTTGCCCTGAATATTGGATAACATTTAGGCAAACATGCTATCGCTTCGTACGCTCGCCGAAACGAAATTGGCTGGATGCTAAGAAAATATGTACCGCCTATAACGCTAATCTGCTTAATGTGGAAAATGTCGAGAAACATTCATTCATTCTAAAACAATTGATTTTACAAAATCAGCGTCAAAACCGATTTTGGATATCAGCACGGCAGACTGGCCCCAATAGTTGGGTAAACGATGACAATACTCCTTTCGTAATGATCGAAGACTCATTTTCGTTTGGCGAGGAACAGGCCATTGAAAATGAAGACTTACACGATAATCGTTTCTTAGTTCAAACCGAATACAATCGTAATAATCCGAATCCAAACCAGTATTACAATACGATACCGGGATCAACAAATCGTAATATAAATACCGATTATAGGAATTATGTGGGTGAGTGAATTGAGCGAAAGTAATAATTAATTCAATATTATTACGTTAATTTTAACCCTTAGGTTCTGGCCAGTATGGTGAACATAATCTGCGCGATCGTTTGGTGTATGCTTTCTCTAAAAAACATGATCGTTGGATGTTCATGCCGGCATATGAGAAAGAATTAAATTTATTTATATGTGAATCGCATTTTCTTCACAATCCCGATAATATAAATATCAAAAATGACGACAAACGCCCCTTTCATTATGGTTTAGATATAATGGATTTTGAGAAAATTCCAAGAGGGCCATATTTTGTCACACAACCGAACGACACTACTTTTGATACAAGCAAAAATCGTTTGATAAATGACGTAAGTTTGAGCTGTCTAGCCGCTGGTTATCCAACGCCCACTTATCGCTGGTTTCGAGAAATTTATGTTAATGATACTTTAGAATATCGGCTGATAGATCCTTTGAAAAACGAGCGCTATACCCTATCGGGTGGAAATTTGATAATTTACGATCCCAAACAAGCTCTTGATCAAGGGGCTTATCATTGTGTGGCGGAAAACAAGTTTGGACGAATACGTTCAGAAAGCGTTAAATTAAATTTCGGTTATATAATGGAATTCAATTTGAAGAGATCCGCTGAAACTGGTGATATGAATTGGGGCAAATCGATATTCTGTGATCCACCTCAACATTATCCTGAAATCAAGTATTATTGGTCTCGCGATTTTTTCCCAAATTTCGTGGAAGAGGATCAACGCGTCTTCGTGTCACACGACGGTGCCTTATATTTTTCATCCATCGAAACTGTGGACAGAGCTAATTACTCATGTACAGTGCAAACACTTGTGTCCGACACTGGTCGTAACGGGCCATTCTTTCCGCTTCGTGTCAGGCCTAACAGTAAGTTATTTAGACGGAAAATAAACCACATAGTCGAATTGATATATTTTGAATTTTGTGGTTATGTTAAATACAGAAGCACCCTTCGAAATGTGATTAACTAATTGTACCTTGTTTATTTCGTAGGTAATTACCAGTCATTAATTTTTGCGAATTCATTCCCGAAGGTAAACTAATTTGTCAACAATTAAGAGAGTGTTTCAATCTTCCCAACTGTTTCATGTTTAGGTATTTCCTGAGGCTCCTAAAGCTGGCGATGAAATTCGATTAGAATGCTTGGCATTTGGTTATCCAATACCCTCATATAATTGGACACGAAAAGAGCAACCATTACAACGCAATGCCTACACGACCAACTATAATCGAGTTTTGATTATACAAAATGCAACAACAAACGATAACGGGGAATATACTTGTACAATAGCCAATTCCCGGAAAGCAGATGAGAAATCCGTTTTCATCAATATTCAAATGAAGCCTGAATTCACCATACCATTGAAGGACAAAGTTAAGGACTACAACAGTGATGTCACTTTTATATGTGAAGCCTCTGCTATTCCTGACGCAAACTACACTTGGTTCAAAAACGCTGAACATTTAAATCCGGAAAATATTGATAAGGATCGTTTTATAATACAGGATAATATTTTAACTATAAAATATTTGGATGCGGAACGCGATGACGGCATGTATCAGTGTGGGGCCTCAAACCAATTAAAAACTGCGTATTCATCGGCCCAGCTTAGGGTACTGTCTATGAAACCGTCGTTCAAAAAACATCCTTTGGAATCAGAAATTTACGCTGTAAATAACGGTAACACTACTATTGTATGCGATCCCGAAGCGGCGCCACGTCCAAAATTTCAATGGAAAAAAGATGGGCAAGTGATAGGATCTGGAGGGCATCGACGAATACTTCCAAGTGGAACGCTAATAATATCGCCAACTTCACGAGACGATGAGGGCGTGTATACTTGCCTTGCTTCTAATCAGGCGGGCTCCGACGAGTCAAGAGCACGTTTAATAGTCTTACGTAAGTAAATTGCTATTGCATAGAAGTTAAAAGACTTTTCCATTTATTTCTTCTTCTATATAAACTGCAGAGGAAATGCGTTTTGTGCAGACGCCACCGCTGCGAATTACTACACAAGTCCACGACTTGATTTACCTGCAATGCGACGCTAGTTATGATGAACTTTTAGAAGTTGCGTATGTATGGAAACATGACGGTGAGATTCTGCAAAATAACGAGGACGGTTTAGAGAAAATTGTAGGTGAACACTCATAATACGATATACGTTACATAAAATCATTAATGGCGTTTTATATTTAAGATCATTGATTATAATCGTTTAACTGTACACAATGTAACTATGCTAGATGGTGGGGATTACGAGTGCGTGGTCAAATCTTCCGTTAACGAAATCTCAGCTAAAACAAATGTTGTAGTAGAAGGTGCTCCTGGGGCCCCAGGTGGTGTCCAAGTAGTAGATATTGGAAAAACGAAAGCCCTTATAGAATGGATGGATGGTGCGAATAACGGACGGCCTATACGTTATTATAATATATTAGGCCGCACTAATTGGAATCGTACATGGGTAAATGTGTCAACACATGTGCAAGCACATGAAATTGACCGTTACACAAGTAGACAGCAAGCCGAAATTTCAAATTTAACTCCGTGGTCATCCTATGAATTTAGTGTTGCCGCAGTTAACGATTTGGGTATAGGCACGCCTTCTACTCCATCTCCTATTTATAGCACACATGAAGACAGGTAGGATTTATTATCAAGAGTAACCCATTGCTTTATCAATTTTTTAATGCCAGGCCCTATATTGCTCCTAAAAATGTGGGTGGAGGGGGCGGTAAGATTGGCGATCTGACCATTACCTGGGATCCTTTACTACCTCAAGAACAGCACAGTCATGGTATATACTACAAAGTGTTTTGGCGTCTGAAAGGCAAATTGGAATGGGCTTCCGAAATTATTAAGCGTCAAGACAATATAGGAATGGCTGTAGCAAACATACCACTTAATAATTATTACACTGAATACGAGGTTAAAGTGCAAGCTTTAAACAACGTGGGCAAAGGACCAGAAAGTGAAGTAGTAGTTATATACTCAGCCGAAAACATGCCTCTAGTAGCTCCTCAAAAACCGAAACCTCACGCTTTCAACTCGACCGCTTTCAATGTTACATGGGAGCCGATTGAGTTAACACGCGAAAATATAAGAGGAAAACTTATAGGTCACCGCGTAAGTAATATTTATACCCAAAATTATAAATTGGACTAACGATACGGATATCATCTAGATAAAATACTGGAAAACTACGCAGGAAGAAGAAGATGCGGTGTATTACTTATCACGGACTACACGTAATTGGGGTTTAATTGTAGGTTTGCAACCTGATACCTATTATTTTGTTAAAGTAATGGCATATAACGCGGCTGGAGAGGGACCAGAAAGCGAACGAGCCGAAGGTAACGTTAATTATAAAGCTAATTAATAGACATACCTCCGTAATGTAAAGGAAATCTTTAATTATAGAGCGCACGTACCGTAAAGCCCCACAAAAGCCTCCTTCATCTGTTCATATTTACGGCATTAATCCTTCAACTGTGCGAGTTGTTTGGCGTTATGTTTCACCAGCTCAGGACGAAGAGCCCATTGAAGGGTATAAAGTGCGGGTCTGGGAAAGTGATCAAAACATGATCACGGCCAAAGACACAATTGTAGCAATAGGTCAAAAATTGGAAACATATATAACTAATTTGACTCCAGGAAAAAGTTACAATATGCGTGTTCTAGCCTATAGTAACGGTGGAGACGGCCGCATGTCTAGCCCAACCATACGTTTCCAAATGGGTATGTTCTACTTCTGATCAAAATTTATTTTTTGCTTAATTTACGCTTATTCTTCCTCCGCTTTGCAGGCAAGACCACTTTGTAATTTTGGTAATTAGCTCACGTTTTTTCTTACTCGAAAGTTAACAAGTTGCGATCAAAAAAGTTCACCTTATCGGTTATCAAGTTCGTCCATTCCACTAATTTTTTAGGACTTATAGTAAAACTAAGCGTAAAATAAATTTTACAAAATAATATTGAATATATGTAAATAAAAAATCGTCACAAGTTTTGTAAAGATTGTTTCCAATTTATTTATTTAAATGAACAGCTCAGACTTTTAAAACTTGGCAGGAGCGCTAATAGCAAATTGATATTGGGATTTTCTATGTATGATCATTTAATAGTGCTCCTTAGAATGTGCATGACCATCACATATAATGAGAAAAAGCCACCATGCCCACATTATTATCGACATTTAGTATGTATCAGTTTTTATGATAAATTTGGTGGATGTAAAAGAAGAATATAATTTTCTTGCCTGTCTACATTTATTCTACTTTAAACAATTGCGCGTAAGTCCACGAAATCCAATAATTTTGCTAAAGTTAATTTTTAGAGAGGAAGACGCTTAACAAAATTGGTAAATGAAAGCAAAAAGGAAAAGCAGCAGAAGAACGAGTGTGGCACATGCGTCAGTAAAACAAATCGTAAAAAATTTCAGTTCATGTTTATCTATGCCTATAAACATTTCTGGATATTGTAGATAGTCAACATCTTAAATTTAGTAAAGATTTTCTTATGACCACATATTTAAACATTTTGAACCTTGTTCTTTGAATCCTCTTATGTAAATGTCTGCTTCCCACCATTCGTTTGTTTTATATAAGATATTTTTGCATTTATTAGAATCGCTATCGGCCTCAATAGTAGCCGCATTGTCTTCCAAGTGTAAATCCATGAAATCCTTATATACTTGCAAGTCTTTGCAGCAATGTAAACTCGATGAACTTGTATTGCCTGTATGTAATAAATGAATCTGTACATCTTTACAGCTTGGAGGCAAAGTACAAAACTCCTTAGGAATTATATCAACCTTAGCATTTGACATCGTCTTTAAATCTATTATTTGTTTCGAAATTTCCAGTTCTAAATATATATTAGTAGGAT